CAGAGTGTGTCCGAGATTTAACTAATGTTGACGTGCAAGAGAATAACAGTTTATCCAATGTAGAAATGAACAATGAAAACGAAGGTAAAGGGTAAAAATTCGACTATGCACATAATAGCTATGGTTTTCGATTTTCAATCGCCATTATATCTGAGAGTTTATGTCTCCGGCAGAAAATTCGTGCATATTTGAACTCAGCTCTGTGAGGCGAATCGAATGGTACATATTTCAAGTTCCGATCTCGGTGGAGCTATTAAAAAATACCGTATATTCTAAATAATTACACTGGGTAATTATTGTTTTGCTAGAGAGGGTATACTTCGAGAGGCACGGTAGATTTTATAGAGGTGTTCTTATCTAAAATTGGGGTTCAATAATACATTAGATTTGTAATATTTTAAGGTCTTTCTTCAAGTATTTATCATTTCAATGTTCAATACATCTGGAGGTATTGCTTATGCTTATAATATGAATCATTCAGATCTTGGAATTTTGCCATTAATGATTGCCCATTTTTCTTGGTAAATAAATTATATAAATTTAATTTTATATAAACTTTGTTTAATTTTTTAGGTTACATATGCATGGTATGTTAATCAAAACTGAATATTGTTACTAATAAAAGGTGACCCTTTTACAACATCAAGGCGGTTTTTTCTATCCTCTCCATTTCCTCCCTTTTTTTCTACATGCACCTGTTAATGATATGGAAAGGGTCACTCACACTGATTAAAAAGGCAAATTTAAATAATTTTTAAATTTTTTAAAGGTTTCCCACCAGTAATTTACTTAACATTAAACAAAACTGTTCGGACTGACACAAAAATTCTACTCGGAAAATTTTTTAGTTTATTCAAGAAAAATCAAAATCAAGTTATAACTATTGTTGGACCTGCCCAAAATGGATGAAGTAAATATGTTGTGTATCAATGATGTGCCGAAACAGATTTTAAAAAGCGAAAGACAAAACAACAAAACACCATATTATGTATTCTGTTATTTGAATAAAGATTTGCAATTTTAGTGTTTAAGTAAAGCAGCTGGGCTATAGCTATTTCTCTCCTTTAGCTAGCGCAAAAGGTTAATTGGCGGCTGGGAGCAGAAAACCAGCATCTTCAGTAGTAAGGTTGGCGGTTCCGGGTATCCGGAACCGAAGAAACCTCGGATATCTGCAAATTTTCGGTTCGGATACCAGTTCCGGATATCCGGAGATTTCCCAAGAACCGCCATCCTTATTCAGTAGACCTGACTGAAGTGATAGCTTTACACCAAGCCGCCTACTGCATAGCAGGGCTGGGCGAAATCTAAACATAGAAAGCGAAATGCGAAACTTTTCGCGCTGAAAAATGAGAGAATGCGAAAGATGCGAAACGCGAAATTGCGAAATAAGCCCAGCTCTACTGCATAGCCTTAGGAATTAAATAGCTATATGCTTTACATTTACTTGATAAAAATCTATTTATCTTAATCAATCCCCAAGAGACTACCAAGGGTAATTAATAGAGTAGTATATACGGTAGACCCATTCTAATATCAAAGAAAATTATTAAGGGGTAATAGAGTAATAGATATCCGAATTTAAATTATTTTAAAATTTAGTTTTAAAAAATATTTTAAAGGACGTCTCTAGGGGATAGAAAACAAAATTATGTATCTTTTTCCTTAAAAAATTTTTACATTTTTTTTTGCTTTCTCATTTTTTCTTCTTATAATGCAAAGGCTTAAAGCATAAAAGAGCAACTTGGAATTCCATAAATTTCTAACCTATTATGAATTCTTCAGGGAAGTGTTGCTGTAAGTTAATTTAGATTATCAGAAAATATGATTGAAGCCCCAGGGATTTTCCAGGTGTAGGATTTTCCAAGAATCAACAACCCTATCGGGAAGTTCTTATATCCAAAATAATATAACCGGAATCAACTGTATAGCCTTAGGGAGTGGACCAGGGTTGTGCATCATGGCGTTTTGCGTCCATTTTTGGCCGATTTTTGGCGTTTTGCCTTTGGCGTGATTTAAAAATTTGAAATATTAACGTTTGGCGCACCACAAAAAAATTTTGGCGCACAGCCCGGGAGAGGACGGTGTCTAGCCCATAATTTGATCTTTATAAGTTTGAGAATCTTCTAGGACTTGTTAAAAAATGTTCCCAGATTCTGCGTCGGTTTAGAAAATATTTTCCTTGAAATTTTTGATTTTAAATTCCTTCAAAATTTTATCAATATTTCCAGGCGCCTGCCACCATTGTCATTGCAAAAAGGCCCCTTTGCAAAGCAAACAATGGCGTTGTGTCGGCATTTGTTTTGGCCAATTTGTGCTTGTTGTGTTTGTAACTGCTTGTATAATGCTTATTTACAATATAATTAAAAGGTAAGAGAAAAATATTTCTTGTTTAATGGAACTGTGGGGTAGTTCTCAAGGAAACTGTATTTCTCCACTGTCGACATTTTGGGTAACATTTTGAAGAAGATAACTTATCGTTAATTTTCTATGAGAACCTCAATCTCACGAGGAAACATTCCGAACTATCAGCGATGAATACACCATTGAAACGCAAACCTTAATATAAGCGGCGCTCCGACTCGGGCACAGTGATCCATTTGCACAGTAAGACAATTGCACAGAGAACAATTGCACAGTGGACAATTGCACGGTAATTTGTGGTTAAGTGGATTTGTGCTAGGTTTTACCACTGCAGACTAGCAAGCGGGTTCGAGCCTTTTCATGGTTAATTAATATTTTCTTATTAAATAAAAAAATAAAACATCAAAAAAGCATTTTAAATAATATTTTAAGGGGATAAAAATTTATTTAACTTTTTAAAATAAAAAAACAGGTAAAATTTTAAAAAATCGGATGTAATCTTTTAATGTATTTTTTTCAAATTTGGATTGATTTGGACAAATGAGATACCATTCACGTTTCATTAAAATAATGCTCCTTTAACACTCATTTTTAACACTCATTTTTGACGGCCTGTTATATCAAAAATAGACTTTGTTGGAAAGTGCTACCACACACCCTTAAGTCCTGAGTCTGCTCTATCAGATAACACCTTTTCACTTTTTTAAAAAATTTCTTACGGGACAACCACTTCACTGAGGACGCAAGATCGTTGGGGTCATATTTTTTAAAAGGGGATCCAAAACTTCTTGTTTAAAAAATGTTGTTAAGATTCGGGGCAATTAGTTCAATTAGATTTTTTATTCATTTGATTCTTTTTGTGATTTATAGATTTGTTCCTATAAATCTTTTTTTTGGAAAAAAAAACTTTTTATGACTCAACCTAGTGCTTATGTTAAAAAAAGAAAGAATTTTGAATTCTAATAAAATTTAAGATTTTTTAGAAAAGGTATAATAAAACATTTTTTCCCTTATAACATAAGTAAAACCTAACACGAATCCACTTAACCACAAATTTACTGTGCAATTGTCCTCTGTGCAGATGCCCTCTGTGCAAAAGTCTTACTGTGCAAATGGATCACTGTGCCCGAGTCGTGTCACCATATAAGCACATATTGTACTATAACATGTACGAATTTAAGTAATTAGAGGCCCGTCCGACCACTTAAATTTTAAAATAAAATTCTTTATAAATTTTCAAGTCGAATGTATGCAAATGATTAAAGAAAGATGATTTTTCAAAAATCTTTTTATTCATTGAATAAATATCTTATCCAGAGATTTACAAATAAATCAGCAAAAAATTATCATCATTTTAATTTAAAATACAATCAATTTTGTTTAAGATTACATATTTTTTTAAAGGTTGTCAACAGCCAAGAAAAAAAAATTTTTTTTTGATTTTTTCTGGTCATTTTTAAGGGACAACCACTAAAAAAAATTTTTAATATGTTGAAGAAACAATAAAAGAGACTACATTTCCGCTATCCATAAAATCTTCGTCCTTATCTAATTTTTCTTTTCCAACAAAACCCTTTTCTACATTAAAAACAACCATTGTAGGTATACATTTAACTCCAAATTTATCATCCATTTTTATTGGATTATTTGGATTATTCCATCTAAAAAAATTAAAAGAAAATTTTTTTAAACGTAAATTCACTTTTATCCCCCCCCTCCCCCAAATTAAACGGTTCCACAGTTCCTAAGATGGTCTATGCCTCCTTTTCCTAAGCCGTAATTTCTGGATTTTGTACATATGCTAGATCAGACCAGGGTGGCTCTTTTGCCTCATTCTTGACTTCTTGGCCTTCCAAAATTCTCAAAATTTTCGCCTGCGGCAATTAAAAAAGTCCTTTTTGACCTATTTCGCCCCCTTTTCGAGAGCCAACGACCTCTTTTGGTGCTTTGGAAAAGACCACCTTGGATCAGACCCAATCATATTTTTCTATATTAATCCGGTCTGGAAAGTCCAAAGATAACGAAAAAAACTAATTTGAGACACCAACCCTAGAAAATCTATCTGAATCCGGCATTAAACACTACAAAATACTATGGAATCAACAGGAACCTTAACTTCTTTTACATTATAACTCAGAACATTTCCATAGAATTTTTAAAATAACCCATCCAAAATTCTAAAAAAATTTATAAAAAATCTCCTCACTCTTCCTTATTTCCAACATTACAGACCAAAAAAATGACATTCAAATGCTTCAATTCCAACAAAGTTTCTTCAATTGAAGGTTCTGCTTTAACACAATCAGAACACCACGATTTTCCAGTTTCTTCCAATTTTGTTCCAACAAAATAAATAATTACCTCATCTTTGGGCAATTCTAATAATTTTTTATTTAATTCGTCGTGACCAAAAACTTCAATTTGTTTCATTTTTTAAATTAAAAAAATTTTTTTTCTAAAAAGAATTAATAAAAAAATTATATAAAATTTAAAAATATTTAAAAAATTAATGTAAAATAATTAAATTAAAAAAAAATAATTTTAAAAAATTTATTAAAATTCAAAAAAAATTTTTTTTGAAATTTTTTTAATAATATTTTTTATTAAATTATCTAACAACAAAAAAAACTTTTTTCGTATTATTTTTCTCTCCACAAAACATTAACTTGATCAGTTCTATACCTTTGAGTATATGTACATTCTTTTATGGGTGCATTCATTCCACAATTATACATTTCCCAGCCAGCCTTTTAAAAAATTAATTTTAAAAAATTTATCAAAAAATTTGTCAAAAAGGGGGCTTTTTAAGGTTTAAAAATTTTAATAAAAAAATTCAGAAGACCTTTTGACATATAAAAATAATTTTTGGAACCAAAATTCATCCAAAAAAAAATTTTTTTTAGAACCCTCAGGATTTAACCTAAACCCTCCCCTTTATTTTAAAAATAAAAAAAATTTTTTTAAAGGTTTCTTTACTCTTCAAAAACTTTTTATTTAATTTTTTAAAATATTTTATACAGGCCCGTAACTAGGATTTTTTTTCGGGGGGGGGGGGGGGAAATTTTATTGCGCCAAATTTTTGGCGCCGAAGGCGCCAAAAATTTTTATTTTCAGCGCCGCAGGCGAAAATTTTGAGAATTTTAGAAGGCCGTAGGCCAAAAAAATTCACTTTTTCGGCGCCGCAGGCGCCAAAAATTTAATTTTCAGCGCCGCAGGCGAAAATTTTTTGAATTTTGGACCTCAAGAAGCCAGATTTCGTCCTTTTTTAGCGCCGCAGGCGAAAATTTTTTAAATTTCAGAGGCCGTAGGCCAAAAAATTCACTTATTTTGCCCCAGCCCTTCCCCAAATTTTTTCCTTTTTCCCATTTCGGGGGGGGGGAATTCCCCCCCTCACCCCCCCCCTGGTTACGGGCCTGATTTTATATGAAATCCAAAAAACCTTCTGTCATAAAAAATGATTTTTTGGAACCAAAATTCATCCAAAAAAATTTTTTAGAACCCTCTGGACTTAACTAAAATCTCTACCCTTTATTTTAAAAATTAAAAAAATTTTTTTATTTTAAAACAAAGGATAAATCTTTTGTTGAATCCGGAGAACCATAAAAAAATTTTTTAATGAATTTTGGGTTCCAAAAAAATTTTTGGAACTAAAAAATTTTTAAATAAAAAACCTAACTTTTTATTAAATTTTTTAAATATTTTATAGAAAATTCAAAAAACATTCCGCCGTAAAAAAATGATTTTTTTTTTGAACTAAAAATCATCAAAAAAAATTTTTTCGGGTTCACCGGATTCAATAAAAGATTTATCCTTTATTTTAAAAATTAAAAAAAAATTTTTTTTAATAAAAAAAACCTGAGCAATCATAGCCCCATTATCAATACAAAAACGTTCATCTGTCGCAAATAATTTAGCTTTTCTTTCATTAACCATTATATTCATCATTTGTTGTAAACGTTCATTACATCCAACACCTCCAACTATTAAAACTTCTTTTGAACCACAATGTGCCATTGCACGTTCAGTTATTTCAACTAACATTGCAAAAACTGTTTCCTAAAAAATAAATTAATTAAAAATTTTTTTTATTTTCTAGGAAATTTTGTAAGGAAGACCAAGCGTGTCAGGCTAATACACATTCCAAACAAAATAAAATCCTAATCAAAATATTTTGATTGAATTCAGGCTCGTAGCCAGGATTTTTTCGGGGGGGGGGGGGGGGGTGTAAAGGGGTCCTGCCTACAGGCCTGATTGAAAGATGTTTTGTAAGACTAAGTTTTGCAATTATAGTAATAGAAAAATATAAAACTCGTTACCACCCACCTTCCTCATAGTATTAACAAAAATTATTTTAAGTAGAATTTTATGTTAACTATACCCCTAACGAGGAAATAATTTAGAAAATTGACCATATGTACGTACTTAAGAAAGAAAAAGATGAGGGGGCAACCTTGGTATTACCAAGAATTTTTCCCAAAGGATTTTCTAAAAAAATTTCTAACCCAAAATTCATCCAAAAAATTTTCAAAAAATTTTAAAAAAACCTGCAAAGAAAAACACAAATCAGCATCAGAAAATTTTCCAGATTTAACAAGTATTGGAGCTTCTTTTTCAATATGTGAAAGAATTCCAGACAAAGAAATATCCATTCCTTTGACAACATAAGGGAGTTGATAGAAGCGAGAACCTTTTTTTGCCAATTGTTCAATATTATAACCAGGACTAGGTTCGTTTGAAAGTTTTAGAATACGAGCAAAACGATCAAGACAATTACCAACAGCAATATCCAAAGTTTCTCCAAAAATACAATAACATTGATTTAAGTAAGAAATGACCTAAAAATGAATATTTTAGGGAAAAGTTTTTGGAAAGAAAATTCATAACCAGAGAAACTCATTTTGGGAAGAGGATCAAAATCTTTTTGGACACTCAAAGCCCTCTCCAAAAATGAGGAAGGAGGAAAACAATTTGGAAGGAGAATGACAAAAAATGGATTTTATACTAAAGACGTAGCCGGGAAGGGTGAAGGGAAATGAAAAAAACCCTTGAAATCGACCCCCTGGCTACGCCACTATTTTTGTACTAAAAATACCTAAAAATCAAACTCACATCCATATAAAAATCAAAATTTTTCAAAACTATTCTAGAAGGAAAACCTGGGTTAGGATGGTTTTGGTTGTCAAATGTTTCAATCCCATCCAGAAAATGGAGGAAAAGGAAAATATTGCCAGGGGAATGATGAATAAAAATGAATTTCCTTTCGCCTACGGCCCCAAAAATCACAAAAATTCGCTCTTATACATGAATAAACCTGTGTATTTCCACCGCTAACATAAAGAATAACTGGATTTTTAGCACCAGTAATTAATCTTCCCATTTCAATATGTCCAACACAATGATTGACTGGAATAACAGGCTTTTTCCATAATTGTGCAAGTGTACGGGCAACGACAGCGCCAACCTGCAGAGGCGCACCCATTCCTGGTCCTTTTGTGTAAGCAATTGCATCAATCTCTTCATATGGATCCGAAAATAGAAAAGATTTTAAATTAAAAATAAAAAAGATTATTAAGCTTTCCAAAAAGCAGGGGCTAGGAGAATAAAATGGTCCAGAACTTTTCTAACGAATTCTTACAGGGAACCATCGCAAATTATGTCTATATATTCACACACCATTGTGTAGAATATGCTCGATAGCCTATTGCCAATTTTTGCCTTTTTTACGGGGACATTTTGGATAATTTTGGGGCTTCAAAGTCTACCATGCTCTACACGAAGGTATTACTTCTGTTTAAAAATTTTTGATCACAGCTCGAATGATTCTCTTTGAAGCTTTTTTCAAAAGAACTTTCTCTTGTCAAAAAAAAAGATATCTTAAAAACCTCTATAGAATTTTAAAGGCTTGGACCAAAACCTCAAAGACATGCAAAAGAAATTTTTAAAAACCTCAATTTTCGCTATTCTCAAAGCTTCAATTACAAGTGATACAACATGCTGTCGATGATGAACTGCTGTTTCGGTTGGACGAAATCCTTCACCAGGGGGAGCATGAAAAGTTCGTCTAGGATTGCTGAGTACTTCACCATCACAAACAATGCCTACGCCAATCTTATTTGCACCTTAAAAATTTTTTTTAGAAATTTTATGAAAATATAAACAAACTTCCTTCAATTCCTAAAATGCAAACCATTGAAAAAATGAACAAAAAAGCTAAAACTGCTTGAAAACAAAAAATTTTTTATTTAATAATATAATTTTAAGAATATTACTTTTCCAACAGCTAAATTTTAATTTTGGAATATTTAATAAAATAAATTTTATTTTTAATCTTTATAAATAATATAAAATTCGTTCAGGACAATGCGTCAGTGACTATAAATGGAAATCGGTCAGTGGACTAATAAAAGGATATGAAGGGATTAGGAGTAATTAACAAGGCGATTAAAAAGGATATATAGAAGGGTAGTGGGATTAGAAGTTTATTGCGGGATTTGGTGGTTAAGAGAGATATCTGGGAATTTGAGAGACTCAATCGGATAACAGGGTATTTGAGAATATTAAAAACATTGGAATAGTCAAAATTGAAAGGATATCGAAGGATTTTCATGGATAAAGATGGATGTGAAGACTGTGAAGCGTGTTTAAGGAAATAACAGAAATTATGATTTGGGTGGATTAGATGGATATCGGGATTAAAAAGGGCATCTAGAAATTAAATAGATAAGGTAAAGATATCGAGGGATTTGCGAGGATCAAGAGGGCTTATCTAAAAACTTTAGGTTCGAAAGGATATCCCTCCATTAGTCCAATGATTCAGTGCCGATTACCAAAAATTTTCAAATGTCGCATTGTCCGGGAGCCATAAAATTATATGTCAAAACATTTTAGTTTAATAAATAAAAATAGAGTTCAAAATAGTAAATTTCTAAATTAAATATTTTGAAACAAAACAAAAATCATTACACTGTAAATACTACGAACTCTACTTATTTAATATTAAAAAATAAAAAAATTAAACCTCGTAAAGCGAATAAAAATAAAAAAAAATCTCAAGGTATCCACATTTTAAGTTGTTCCAAATAATCATCTCCACTATCAAAAAAAGGTTTATCCACATCTTCAATTGTTTGTAATCCACAAAGTAGACAATCTCCCAATAACAATTCATCAATTTGTGTACGGACAGAATCTAATTTACGTTTTGCAATTTCTGAAATTTATAAAATATTTTATTGTTAGCGTTCAAGTATATTTATTCAAAATAAATTTCTGTCAGTACGTATGGTTCTAAAAATTGCGCTTTTCCTATGTTTTTCGTTTTTAAAATACAAGTTTCCTGTTTTGGTTGTTGAATAAAATAAATTTATTTTTGAGGGAGATTGAAATAAAATTTTTAAAAAAGCTAAAAACCTTCTCTCCCATTCTTTTCACCTCGTTGTCTTAAAATGGCATTGATTGTTGAATTCTCCGTTAATTTTTTAAATTCTTTTTTAAGATTATGTTCTTCAGCCAATAATTTAACAAATTCAGGAGATTTTTGCTAAAAAATATTTTTTATTTAAAAAAATTTAAAATCTTATAAAACCTTCAATTTTCCCTCTAAACAAGATTTATGAAAACAATGTCTACACACAAAAGCAACAAAGTGATGAGTAAGTAAGGATTTTTTGCAGATTGAACATGAACTATTTGCACGAATAACCATAAAACTATTTAAAAAACAACTTTATTTTTTTTTGAAAAAAATTATATAAACCTTGATTTTGTTCGATTAATTTCTTCATTTAATTCATCAGACATTTCAGTTGCATCAGAAATTTCTTTTTGAAGCCTCTTAAATTTTTTAATTTTTTTTAGGTACCTATCCGTTGAATAACAATATTCCGTCCATCTTTCCCTATCCCCTAGACGTTTTTCCCCATCTCCTAAAAGTACAAATGGTCAGTGGCGTAAATTAAATGAAGCATACAACTTCAACGATCCCTAATAGAATGCATACTCAAAAATAATTTGCTTAAATTTTATACCAATTTAGTCCAAAACCCCTATATGCCCTGAAAACTTTTACCGAATTCTGAATCGTACCATTTGTACTTATACAAAAAAAATAAAAGAGAAACAATTTTACATTAGAATAATTCTTATTTAAATTTAACCTTAATTTCATTTGAATACTCCTCCAGAAATCCCATTAATGGTTCTTTAAAATGTTGTATTTTTGTACAATCAGGAAAATACTCCATAACATCTTGAATTCGTATTGCTCGATTAGACTCATCAATTAAAGAAAAACATTGAGAAATTGGAGTTCCACCACTCTTTACCATAGTTTTTACTGAAAAACAGATTTATAATGCAAAAATGTTAAAAACCCACAAATTTCCAACCAAATTCTTCTACGCATTTCAGTAGTTCTTTTTTCAATTGCCATTTCTAATTCATTAGCACATTTTTTAGCCAATTCAATAGAAATTGTTAAAGCTAAAATAACCGCATCCTCATACGAGCCTTCAAAACAAAGAAGAAAAACGAGACATTCAACAAGACCTGAAAATTATTCAAGAAAAAATTAAAAAGTCAAAAAAAATAAAGTTTTGGGGAGAAAGTTCCCATAAAATAAATGTTCAAAAATTGGTCAAATTACAATAAAATAAAAAAAAACCATGTTCCTTGCATATTTTTATAGCTTCTACTGCATTAAATGAATAATTATGAGTTTTACAAATACATTCTTTCATAAATGGTAATAATTGTAATGGTCGAAATGTTGCATATAAATCAATACAAAAATCAAGAAATGGGCCATTTGTTTGTGTTGGTGTAAGATTTTCAATAAACAGGAAAACAGAATCAACCTATAAAAGTATTAAAATTTTCAAAAAAGTTTCAAACTGAGGATTAATCAAAAAAATTTTAAATAATCACTTCCAAATTTTTAAATGTTTCAATTTAATGAATTTAAAAATATTCTTACCATTGTAGCACGATTTTTCAATTCAGGATTTAAACATTTAAGAAAAGCAGGCAAAAGTTTCAAAGGATCCAATTTGTTTAGTTTTTTGAGCAAAAAAGAAATCAGTTCCACAGGTACTTGAGTAATTAAAGCTTCAGAATATTCATAAATTAAATTTGATGAATCACGTTCCAATAAGTCAAGAATTTCTTTATATGATTTTTGAATTAATAAAATTTTGAGAACTGTTTGTGTATCATGTAATTTATTAGCCAAATATAATTGAACATCAAAATCGACATGAGAACTTAAATAAAAGAAAATCATTAATATTTTTTGAATGCGAAAGGTGTGCAAAATATCCCAGAAATTCGACCAATGGACGTGTCCCCATAAGGGAGGCTTCTGGGGCTAAAGCCCCCCCCCTCCAGAAAGGGGAAACGGGAAAAATTTGAGGAAGAGAGATAGACTGACCATTTTTTACATATTTACCGAAAAAAAGGCACTGGGCACCCTCATTTTCAGTAGTAGCAAATTTTTGCATGCGGCGCTGAAAGCTAGCTACGCCCTTGGTCGGCAGACACTTTTACACGTCTTAATTGTAAGTGGTTCTATAAAGAATACCAGAAAACATTGTTACAATAAAGGTAAGAAAAACCCCAAAGCCGTTTATTAAATTTAAATTAACAAACCTAATCAATCTGTAGACGGCCATCTGGTTATCTTTAATAGCTTGCAAAACAATTGGTTTATTAATAAAAGAAAATATTTGATCCTTTAATTGACGAAGCTGAGATTCACCTTCATCAGAAACATTTGTAGTACTTTGTCGATGCTCAGAAAGTTCAGAAAGGTAAATTTCCAAAAGCCAAAAGACTAATATATCCCTCTGCATATGATACTAAAAATGTTGGAAATGAAAAATTTAAGGGAATGAAAAGACTAAAGAAATACTTTCAAAATATTCACATATTACTTGAATTAAGACTAACAGGTAAAAATACTCACAATCAGTACTTATCGGTTATTCCAAAACACAAAGGCCGACCGAATTCGAGTTATGGAAATTAATAATGCCCAATGATCCAGCAAAAACGAAACTAAAAAGGACCTCGAAAAAGTTAAAGATGACCGATAAGTACCAATTAATTTATTGAGCTAATAAGTATTAAGATATAATAAAACCTCCTTTTCCATAAAACGATTAAGATTGGATTCTAAGAAGAGTTTGAGTTTATTTCGACTGCCAGGTCCCTTTTCTAAAAGTAAAAGAATTGATTTTTCAAATGATTCATCTGATCGAGGCAATGCTGCTTGTTGACGAACAAAAATATCTCTAGAAGTGCAAACCATTAGAAAAACTGAATAAAAATTCTAAAAGAGATTACGATTAAAAACAATAAAAATATAATTAAAAGAATAGTATTACTTGTCAAACAACGAAAATTTAATCGTGAATTATTTGATAAAATAAATTTTACAATTAAATTTTTATAAATATATGTAGAATTTATATGTTAAAAAACTTTTGGCAATGGTTGTTGGCAAACGGTTAATTTTTCCGTATTTTCTCTGTTTTCCTTAAACTCAACAACTCCTAAATACTTCAATTTTGACTGGCCATAACTAGGCTCAAACTAATTCTGCAAGAAAATCCGCAACAACAGTAGTAAGCCGAGGGTCCTCTATCGAATAGTAGCAAAAAAATTACCAAATTTTGTACACAGTATCCGATGTTCCCTTGTCAAGAAGAAATTTAACCTGCCTCCAACAACCCTCCTTTTGGTTTAATAACTAAAAATAGAGTTCGAGGTAGTAAAATATCGATTAATTTTTAAATTGTAAACATGAACTCTATTTAATAAAAAATCTTAAAATATACCTCGTAACCCGAATAAACTTTTAAAAATTAAAAAAAAGTCTCAAGGTATCCACATTTTAAGTTGTTCCAAATAATCATCTCCACTATCAAAAAACGGTTTATCAACATCCTCAATTGTTTGTAATCCACAAAGGGGGCAATCTCCCAATAATAATTCTTCTATCCGTGTACGGACTGTATCTAGTTGGCGTTTTGTAACTTCTGAAATTTGAAAAATATATATTTTAAACGTTTTATTCAAGATAAATATGTCAGTATGGGTTGGCAGCGTCTAAAATTATTTTACGATTCTCACAATGTTCTAAGCCCATACTCTTATTGCTGAATAACATAAATTACTTTTTGAGATGTTTTCTTAAATAATGACGTAGATTTTTATTTAAATTCGTTTAAAAACTGACAAGACATTAATTTTAAAACCGGTTGCCATCTCCCCTATTAATATTAGTTTTCATTTTTTTCACCAAATTTTCCGGGTAAAACTCTGTGATCACATCCCAAACAAAAAAGTTTATTTAAATAAAAAATAAAAAAAAATAAAAAACCTTCTCTTCCATTTTTTTCACCTCGTTGCCTCAAAATATTAATTGTTGTATTTTCCGTAACTTTTTTAAATTCTTTTTTAAGAATACGCTCTTCAGCCAATAATTTAACAAATTCAGGAGATTTTTGCTAAAAAATTTTTTGGAAAGAATTTAAACGTTAAAAAACCTTCAACCCCTCCTCTAAACAAGATTTATGAAAACAATGTCTACACACAAAAGCAACAAATTGACGTTTAAGCAAAGATTCTCGGCAAAATGAACACGAACTGTTTGCACGAATAACCATAAAACTACAGGAAAATTTTTAAAATTAAAAAAAAATTTCCACAAACCTTGATTTTCCTTTATCAATTTCTTCATTTAATTCTTCAGCCATTTCTGTTGCATCACGTATTTCCATTTGAAGTTTCTTAAAATTATTTTTTTCTAAATTTTGTAACAAAAAGAAACCTTAATTTCATTTGAATATTCTTTAAGAAATCCCATTAATGGCTCTTTAAAATGTTCAATTTTTGTAAATTCAGGAAAATAATCTAAAACATCTTGTATTCGTATTACTCGTTTAGATTCATAAAGTAATGCAAGACATTGAGAAATTGGAGTACCACTTTTTATCATACTTTTTGCTGAAAAACAGATTTATAGAATTAGTGATATGGTCTCCCGGTTGCGTGATCTAAGAAAAAATATGGAACTGAGGCAAGCCCGTCGCCGTGATTTTTTTCGGAAAGGGGGGGGGGCAAACGGGGAAAATTTTTTGCTTTTCCCCATTTCGTGGGTAATTCTCCCAGGGTTCCTCCTGGCCACGGGCCTGAACTGAGGTCCGTCATTGCCTGAGACTTCAGAAAAGTTTACTTTTTAAGAAGTATTTCCATTTTTTTATTTTCACGTATTTCCATTTGAAGTTTCTTAAAAATTAAAATATTTTTTCCAAATTTTTATCAAAATGGAAAAACAGCCTTTAAAAAAAAGGAAAAAAAAAGGAAAAAAAGGAAAAAAAGGAAAAACAGCCTTTAAAACTTTAAAAAATCTTACAAATTTCTAACCAAACTCTTCTACGCATTTCCATTAAAATAGAATTGGATTGACTATTTTTTGTATCAACAATTTCAAGCAAAGAATCTTTTTCAGCAGTTCTTTTTTCTATTGCCTTTTCTAATTCATTCGCACATTTTTTAGCCAATTCAATAGAAATTGTTAAAGCTAAAATAACTGCGTCTTCATAAAGGCCTTCAATACACAAAAGAAATACTCGACATTCAACAAGACCTGAAAAATTAGTCAAAAAATTGATAAAAAAAATCTTCCTAAAAAGGAAAAAATTAAATTGAAAAAGTAAAAGTAAGGTTGAACAAAACCAGTTAACCGCCCGGTTAATTTTTCCCCGAGGCCGGTCAAAAAGAAAAAAAGACCCGTTACAGGGAAAAATTAACCGCGCGGTTTCGTTCAACCAAAATTAAGGCTCCCAATGAAATAAAAAAATTAAAAAAACCATGTTCCGTGCAAATTCTTAAAGCTTCTGCCATATTAAATGAAGCCTTAGAATTATTATTAATACATTTTTGCATAAAAGGTAATAATTCCATTGGTCGAAATGTTGCATATAAATTAATACAAAAATCAAGAATTGCTCCATTTGTTTGTGTTGGTGTAAGATTTTCAATAAAAGTAAAGATAGAATCAACCTAAAAATTAGGGTTGGACACGATCAATTTTAAAACCGAAAATTTTTAATATTTTTTGCCAAAAATTAACAGTTTTTAGGTAGTTTTAAAAACCGAAAATTTAGAAAAAGAGTGATTTTATTAAAAATTCTCCCAAAATAAAAGCGGTATTCGACTAAACTCAAAACCGAAAACCGGGTGTTTTAAAATTGGAATAACCGAAAACAGGGGGTATCTAAATATTAATAACCGGTAATGTCCGCCTTACTAAAAATTAAAAAAATTTTTTTTTAATTTAATAAAATTAAAGAAAAAAATTTCCGTACCACTTTTGCACGATTCTTTAATTCAGGATTTAAACATTTAAGGAAAGCAGGCAAAAGCTTCAAAGGATCCAATTTGTTCAGTTTTTTGAGCAAAAGAGAAATTAATTCAACAGGCACTTGAGTAATTAAAGCTTCAGAATATTCATAAATTAAATTTGAATTATCACGTTCCAACAAATCAAGAATTTCTTTGTATGATTTTTGAATTAACAAAATTTTGAGAACTGTTTGAGTATCATGTAATTTATTAGCCAAATATAATTGAACATCGAAATCGACATGAGAACTTAAATTTAAAAAATTTATTTTAATTTAATATACCAAGGGTGTGCCCAGAAAATTTTTGGAGAAAAGGGAGACAAAAAAAATTATGTTGGGAAAAAATTTTTGTTAGAAAGGCGAGAATTTTAACCAAAACTAGAGTAAAATCACAACAATCAAATTCAAAATTAACTAACCTAATCATTTTATAGACTGCCGTCTGGTTATCACTAACAGCTTGAAATACTATTGGCCTATTAAGAAAACAAAAAATTTGATCCTTCAGTTGACGAATCTGAGCTTCACGTGTATCAGAAACTTCGCTAGAAGGTCCTCCACTAGAGCTACCCTCAATAATAAAAGCATCCGCTGAACTAGTTACACTTTGACGATGTTCAGCAAGTTCAGAAAGTTGAATATCTAAAAGCCAAAGGACCAACATGTCTCTATGCATTCGTTGCTGAAAAATGTTGAAATTCAGAAATTTAAAAAATTTTTTAAGAAAAACCTCATTTCCTTGAAATCGACTAAGACGAAGTTCCAAGAAGTGTTTTAAACCATTTCGACTGCTAGGTCCATCTTTCAACAATAAAAGGACCAGTTTTTCAAAAGGTTCATCTGATTGAGCCAAAGCATCAGCAGCAGCCACAAAACTAAAATTTGAAAAATATTTCATCTTAAATAATAAATCAACAATGTTTAAAAAATTGAAAAACAAGACCCTCGGAATAAATCTTATAAAAAATAAGTGAACTTATGCTAAATAATCCATTGGTGGAACATTAGGGCGCGGTCGATTTAACATAAAATAGCTAATTATCTAGAAAGATAAAATTTTCAAAAATGGCCTTTTGTATTTATTTAACAATAAATTGTAGAGATCGGCCTGGGTCTGGACCTTGGCCTGGGTTTTTCTTGAACCCAAAGTTCAGGCCCAGGCATTTTTTTACCTTTCTGGGGTTTTCCTGGACTACAGGCCCAAGTCAATAAATCAAACCCAGAACCAGGCTTTTCAAAAATTCCGATCTCTAATAAGTTGGGCCAGAATCACAGAATTGTCCTAAAATATCGATTTCCCAAAAATTATAAAATTCAACAAATTTTTCAAAAATCGCCCAAATGTCCCCACGCCCAAACTCTCCCAAAGATAAAAAAAATACTTTAAAATTTCTAGCCAAAAAAACAAACTTTCTTTCCATCAAAAATTTTTCTGCTTCTTTTTTCAAAATTATTTGAAATGGTCTTCTATCTTGTAATTGATTGGCAACCTTTTTAGCTTTTGCAAATTCTTTGCGTTCCATAAAAAAACGCCAAACTTCACGGCATTCATCATTTGGCCGGTACATAAAAATAGAAGATTCAGCAAATACCCAAATCATATGAGAAGATGCATCCCTTCCCATTCCAATTATTTTGGGTATACCCTAAAATTGAAATTTTTAAAAAATATAACCCCTCTCTAATTAAAAACACAAACAATAAAAAAATCTTCAAATGCAAGTGTTCTATCAAAAAGTGAAATTGCAACAATTCTGCTTGTATACAAAAGTAACAGATGAAATTCTGTAAGACAAATATCTAATGGATAATCAAGTCTCCCTTCAGAACGACGATGACTAGAAAAAAAATTTTTTTTGAAGAATGGAAAAACCCATAAAATCCCATAGAGATCGAGCCGGATCCAGACCTTGACCAGAATTTGATTTCAGGAGGGGGCTAAAAGTGTGTGTGCGCCGAAAGTCTGACGTTTACATTGGCGTCCCGGACGTCCTTGGAGTCATTTAAAACATTTTTCGGAGTTTCTTGATTTTTCCTTGACCCAAAAATCCAGTCAAGGTCCTCACATAAAATCAAGGTCAAAAATACAGGGTTTTTTAAAAATCCCGACCTCTAATATCTAATAAACCTTACTTTATATTAACATCAATACAAAGACGATCACACCAATCAGATTTCCTTGTATTATTCTCTTCATTACTTGAATCAATTGTACCAATTGAGAGACCATCAGCTGCTAACCAGGCAAATTTTGGTGTCATTTCTTCTTCACATTGTAAAGGAAAGACGGTGAAAGCACTAGGTGGTCCTTCATTTTCTTTGTCTTTGACCATTGAAAGATATTGAGGTTTGCTCTCAGCTGAAAGGGGTTATAATTTTATTAAGATTTTTTCTAATTGACAGAAAGGATAGAATAAAAGGGCGAGATAATCGCTCATACAACCAAAAATTTTCAATTTTCAAGGGTCTGAAAATCGGGAAAAAGGTGGAAGCGCCCCATTTTGATCAATTTTGTGGGGATTTTTGGTCTCGGACCATCACTTTAAATATGGAAAACACAATTTTGGTTATGTTAATGAACAATAGTCTAGCCTAAAGACCAAAAACATAAGAAAAAAAACTTGTAAATAGCGACTGCAAAACCGCCTCTTGACTTTGATCGACCATAACACTGCTCCAAACAGTTCCAACAACTTGAGGAGTAGATCTTTGCTGAGAGTTGACTTGTAGATTTGCTGAACCAAAAACACAATAAAGTCGGTTTGGAACACAAATTAAAAGTAAATAATCACAATCTGAACCAGACATTTGATGGAGATGTAAAGCAGAAATTGGCAATCCCTTTTCGGAAATATTTGGATTTAACTGTTTTAAATAATTAATTGAGCCAGAAGAGGAAATATTTGTTTCATAGATTGCGCCTAAAAATGAAAAATTTTAATTTTTGGAAGTTTTAAGTTTTGCGGACAATATTTGCGGACAAAAATGTTTTAAAGAAAATTAGGTAGTTTTCCGTTATACGACCGCAAACTGAGTGCCAACGAATTTGATCGGTTATGACTTTTTGATGCTTCATCCTATACAAATGAATTTTATATCATTCGAAAATCATCGATAAGAGGTATCTTTATTTTCAACTTGATGGATCAGGTATGATCACCCATTAAAAGGTTATATACCGATAAATGTGTAAAACATCGAATAACTTGACTTATCGGGTAATAACTTTTTAATGACTGATCAGATTTGATCCATCCTATTCGAAAAAATATAAAGGTTATCGACGGCTTTCGTATGATCTAAAATTCATCTGTATTGGGTTACGCATTAAAAAGTTAAAGCCGACTCAATTTGCAGTAGTATAACGGAAAAGTAAATAAAATTCTTTAACCTTTAGTAGTTCCAATGAGTATAAATCCAGTTTCAGAATCCTTGTTAAATTCAAAATTCCACGCTACAGCGCTAACTATCATTCCCTTTTTTAAATATAAAATTTAAAAACCAAAAAAAATTTAAAACCTTCATTCGCCTAATAGGCTTTAAAACACAACTACGCATATTAACATAAAAATTTTCTCCAGAAACAGTGGTCACTAGAGCATGAATACCAGTAAAATCCAAATGTAAATGTGAAATTCTGTCATGCATTTCGATATGTAATTTTAGGTCTGAAAAAATTTTGGAAAAAATTTTCTTTAAAGACAAAAAAATTGGTAAAATTCAAGTTTGTACCCACACCTTTTTTAAGAGCAGACCAACGTACTTCGAGCCAAACGTACCGCAGATCTATGGCTTCTTTCAGAATTATCGAATTTGAGAAGCCCTAGTATGGTTCGATACAACTCGGCGAGCTGAATCTGAACAATACCAAAGCGGCCCAGATTCAAAAATCTTGAACGAAGTTACAGCTCTGCGGTAGACGTACCCACTTTCTTCCTCAAAATTTTAAAAATGGTCAGACTTTACTTCTTTTCCCAACTTTACTCTAAAATTGTATGCCATAAGGAAATAGAATAAAGTTAAGGAAGGAAGCAAAATCTGACCCTTTTTAGTACTTTGAGGAAGGATAGGGGGAGAAGTACGAATTTGAATTTTGCCGAAAAATTAACCTGTTTTCTTGGAATTTTGCAAGCGAATGTTAAACAAATTTTGCCCGTTAGTTGCTACAAGCATCATTCCATTTTGTACTTGAAAATGACTGATTGAAGTTAATCTTAGAAAATGTTTAAATTCAAAAAGAATTTAACAGACATACTTTAAGTCAACTTGTTGACGAACAAAAATATCTCTGGAAGTATCACGCATATTTTAAGTTGAAAAATGAAAAAATAAATTAAAATAATAGCCTAAAAAATAATTTTAGACTTGATATCCAAAAATATTTTTGTGAAAATAATATTTTGCCTGAAAATTTTTTGTATAAATCTCTGTGTGAAAATAGCATAGAAAACGAGGAGTTGGATAAAATGTCATTTAAAAATACATTTCGCCAAAAGAATTTTTCTGGTGTATGCAAAATATTTAAAATTAAAATGCTAATGTTTACTTAAAAAATTTAAGCAAAAGCCGAATTAATCTTACCTGGTTTAATAAAATTTGTAATTAATTTGACTACTTCGAAAAGTTCTGTCTGTTTGATAGTTATTAGAGACCTGTACTTTTGAAAAGCCGAAGCCTGTTGCTGTGTTCCGGGTTTGATTTATAGACTGGGACAGATCCTGGGCCTGTAGTCCAGGAAAAACCCAGGCCCAGGAAAAACCCAGGAAGGTAAAAAAATGCCTAGACATGGACTTTGGGTACAGGAAAAACCCAGGCCTTCGTCTAGACGCAGGCCGATCTCTAGTGTTTATATAGCTAAATTCTCAATAAAGTTGTTCCTTAATTTTACAAATTTACCAACCCCTCCCCCCTCTCCCCCCCCCCCCTCCCCTCCCCAAAAAATTAACAATTCAACACAAAACATTTTATTATTTAAAGAGAAACGGAGATCAAAATTTATGTATTTATATTTGAAAAATATTTTTTGATTTTTAAAACTTTTTTTTGTTATCAATTCGAGTAATTTCAACAAAAATCAAAAAATACATTTTTCGTTAATTATGTATAAGTTGAAAAATGTGCTTTTAATATTTTACTATATATGCATAAATGAAGTAAATCAAAATGTATGGAATGTCATGTATGTAGGATAATTATGGAATGATATAAAGAAAATGGGCAAAATTAAAGAAAGAATATGCTTATGGGGTTATATGAAGAAAAACTTTTTATAAAAAATTCAAGAGACTTAAAATTACTACAGATCATAGTGGTAAAGCCCACGCGCAGACAAGTAAGCGCAAAGCCATAATTTGCTTCAAGATTTTGGAATCTTTCAAAATTTAGCATTAAACGATTCCTCTCATCGAGCTAAAGAGATGATATCAAAAATGTTAAGGCCCAGAAATATTCCAGGAAATTTTCCAGGTAGACCCGGAATCGTTTCTATAAATCTTTAAGTGTGCATTTTTAAATTTAATTGGCCATTGGTGAGGGAAGCTGCCTAATGTAAGTGCATAATAAACTCCGGTTGTAATTTTATTTTGGATTGTAAAATTAATTTTTAAGTAAACCAATGATACTGAATAATGGAAGAGAACAATTTAAATAAAGAACAGACAAAAACTAATCAGACTTTATTGAGAGACTAACTTCGATAGTATATTCTCTAATAATTGCCCCCACCCCCTTAATAATTTTTTCACTTGTTGTTTAGTAAGGTTATCGGATAGTTGAAAATCTTCGGATATTCAGATCTGAGCCGAAAATTTCCGGATATCCGGCCTTTTTTCGGATACTGATATTCGAATCGGTGACATTTAGTCCTCATTTAAGGAAAACTAAAAAATAATAAAAAATTATTTTGGAATGTCTAAAGTATAAATATTTAAAGAAAAATATCAAAAATTAAATTGATAGAAAATCAAAAATTTTTAAAAAACAAAAAAAATCCTCTCTCCAATTAAACACTCTCAGTTTTTATTCTATTATGCATTCGTGCAATTGCTCGATCCAATAAACTATTTGAAGTCTTATTTATATTAGTAGAAGCTGTTGGAGAAGAAATTGGACTACTATTAACATCATTATTTCCGGTTATCTGTTCCGGTTCTTCTTTAAAAATTTTATTTGGTGGTGGGGAACTATCTTCATTTTTTGAGTCATTTTTTAGAATATTAGACAAATAATAATAATTTGAAAGGTCCTGATTGTTATTATTATTTGTTGTTGTTATATTTTCGTTATTTACGTGTAATAATTCAGCAAGCTCCTAAAAATTAAATTTTTGTAATATAAAAATTAATTTAAAGAAAATTTAAGGTTGGAGCGGGATGGGTCGAAATTTGGACTTTTTTAGACTGATCTCGATAATTCATCCCATCCCTGCTATGAAGGACAAAAAAAGATATTACAAAAATTTAAAAAGTTAATGGAGGGTAAGTATGGCGGTTCGTGGGAAATCTCCAGAAATACGGAACCGGAACCGATATCCGAACCAAAAATTTCCGAATATCCGGATCAGGTATTCGAACCAAAAAATTTTCGGATACCCGGAGGGTCCTTAATGAAGGGTCTAGAATTTTGTTTAGAAATAGGAACAGAACAAGTTAACGAAAAAAAACAACGGTTATCGATATCAATTTTCTATAGATCTCGATTCACGTACAAATCCCCCAATTCGATATCTAATGTTGATCCCGAAGGTTATTAACAGGGATCGCGCCGACAAAACCAAATCACGAAGGTTGTTAATTCACAATAATTTATTTTTAAATTTCCATTTTTAATTTAAAAGCAATCAAAAAACCCCCTACCCTAAACCATTTTGTTGTTTTTGTATCAGTTGCATTCAATGCCCGACTTAAAACTTGGGCGGGTGTTGGGGTTGTTGAATGGGAAGTTTTAATTGTTGTTATAATTTCTTCTTCTCCTCCATCAGTTTTGACTTGTTTTTCCTAAAAAATTTAAAAAATTTAAAAAAGAAGAGAGTTCCGACCTTATTTCTAGTTCTGTGATTATGAAACCAATTATTAACAGTACGTGGCTGCAACCCAACTTTTGCTGCCAATTGCTCAATTAATTTTGAGTTTGGTCTTTGTTCGTGTATATAAATAAATATTAAAGCTTCTTTTTGCCGATCGGTGATTATTGTTCGTTGAAAACGCTAAAAATTGAATTCTCAAAAATTTCAAAAAAATTTTCGGAAAAATATTTTCTAAAATTTTTCAGAAATTTTCGAAAATTTTTGAAAAAAATTTCAAAAAATTTTTCAAAAAATTTCATAAAAATTTCAAAAAATTTCCAAAAAAATTTTCAATAATTTTTCAAAAAATTCAAAAAAAATTCGAAAAAAAATTTTTCAGAAAAAAATTTCCAAAAATGTTTTAACTATTTTTCAAAGATATTCAAAAAATCTTTAAAAATTGTCAAAAAATTTTCTAAAAATTTTTCAAAAAATTTTTTCAAAAAAATTTTTTGAAAATTTTTTTTTAAAAAATTTACTGGAAGTCTTTTAGCTGCTGAAGGAGGAGCACTTGCATTTATCGGATTTGTTGTTGCTGTATTTGTTGATTTGATCAAAGAATTATTATTATTATTTATTGAGGTTGGAGTACTTAATTTTCTTTTATTTGTTGAATTATTCTAAAAAATTTTTAGATCCTTATTTATTGAAATAATACAGACAGACCCCACTATGAAATACACCCCAAGTTAAGATGGCTAGGTTGTAGAGGTCGGGGAGTTAACGGGGATTAGGGTATGGGGACCGGTTCTGTCCGAAATATCGAGTTAAGCACCGAATTTTGGCCAGAAAAAGATAAGGTAGGTCTGGCTCGATAAAAAAAAGACAGAAAAATCTTCGGCCGGTCTGGCTCGATAAAAATGAGGCCCGAAAAAATGACACGAACGTCGGCCCGGTCGGAAAACCCCAACCCCAGTAGGGATGAAGGGAGCTCACCTCCCTCAACGCATCTCCCTGACAATAGGGTTGGAGAGCTGTTTAAGCCATCCCTCTATTTTATATACAGCTCATTATAAGAGACACTTTCTGGCCCCAAGAGTGTATCCTATAGCAAGGTTCAATTGTAAGACTCTCTTACATTATGCACTCCATTTGGAGTTGAAATTGCCGGATTTGGAGAGTTCGCCTTCTTTAAAATAGTTCCTATAGGAGTATTAACCCCTAATTCATTGGCTAAATTTGATACAATTTGTAATGTGGAAGTAGCAGTAATTAAAGGATCTGTTGTAGAAGTAAAAGGTGAAAGTCTAGAAGAAGGGGAAGAGGAGGAAGAATAATATTTTTTATTATTGTTGAGATGGTGATCAAAAATATTGTTGTTATTTGCTTCCTCAATTTCTTCATTTATTGGAGGAGCAACAGCAGCAATCGCTCGAAGGGCGTTTAATGCATTATTCATTTCACAACGATGGCGCTCATCATCACGCAAACGTTCTACAGCGTCGGGATCGGCAAGGAATTCAACCTGAGAAAGAAATTTTTTTTAAGAAAAATTTTTTGGAAAAATTTTTAGGAAAATGATTATCCGGTCTCGGATTTTCCTCTCTTATTATCCTTCTCCTAAAAAATACAACTGGTCATAGGTAACATAATGATCAGGCAAATAAACAAGTCTAAAAATTATTTAGGACAAAATTCTGATTTTCGCACATATACCAGAACTTTCTGACATCATAATTAAACTTCTGCTCCTATTTTATTTCGTTTTTCAAGATCCAACTAAAATAAAATTCAACTCCTTGGGGATTTTTATAAAAAATTAGAATGAAAATCTGGAAGAATAAGATGTCCTAAATGCCTATTCCCTCTATAATCTCAATAAATTTTCGAGAAAAATGGATTGAATTCTTTTCGATACATGTTCCTTCTATCCAATATTTTAGGATCATCAGATGATGATTGGTATAAAAATGAAATTTGGTATAAAAATGATTGGTATAAAAATGAAAAATCTAAATTTACCATTATTTGATAAGCTTGTCGATGTTTCCAACCAAGCATTACCCAAGGCCTTGCTTTAGTTAATAAATCAGAGAAACCCCCAGAAGTCATTTTTAATAAGTGTTCAGCGAATGCCTGTAAAAAAATTTTAGAAAAATCCAAAAAGATTTTTTTACCCTCTGTGATATTCCACTACGTGCAAGACATTCTCGTATACGTCTTGCAACATCAGCAGTGTCTATTTGATCTAAGGAATTAGCTTCTATCGGTGTTACAGAGCCGTTTGCCTCACTAATAGTACTATTATTCCTTTTAGGCCTCTTAGCAGCTGGTTGATCATCACTTGAAGAGGTACAAGACATTGTCCGCTTAACCTTTTTATCCATATTTTCTTCATTATCTTCATTCCCATCAATCCCTACTTCCCTCATCTCTTTTCTACTATCCTCTTCCTCCCCTTCATTTTCATCTTCAAAAACCTTCTCTTCATCCTCTTCCCTCTCTTCTTCTTCAATAATGTGCAATTTTGTTGAACATCCCTCTTCTTCTTCCTCTTCATTTAATTCATTTTCTTCCCCACATTCTCCCTTAGTCGAACTAGAATCTTCTGTTGTATCTTCAAGTCTTAAATCCAAAGATTTTTGTGAGTCCAAATCATCATTTTGTTCAATTCTCCCATTTTCTTCTCCATTTTCACTTCGTTTTTGTTGCTGCTCCAAAAATAGATACATTCGAACATAGGGTTCTCGGCCTTTTGATGTTAATATATTCCATGGTTTTGGACGTCCTAACAAGTCTGAGACCGAGCCCTAAAAATTAAAAAATAATTATATGAAGGCAAATTCGTAGTGACACCCAGAGGAGAAACAAAGTCGGAACAGAACTGCGAACGTTTTCGGAACAGAACTCCTAACTCCGAAAGTTTTCTCAACCCTAAACTCAATCTAAAAAAAGTTTGAACCCCCAACACTCCTTCTCCTTAACCTAAAACATCCCGGATTCGAACCTCATTTATAAGATAACCCCAATACAAAGATACATGGCAATTTAAGAAACCTTTTTAAAATTAATTTGGCTACAGGGTGGGGGAGCAGCTCATGTGATACCTCAATTTTAAGATACAGCTCATTAAAATACTATTTTCCATTCACACGAATAAATCTTATAATAATATTAAGCAAGCTTGCCTGTGATAACCCAACAACATTATCACCAATCTGACTTTGACTTATTGCATTCTTGGACATAAATTCTCGCATACGTCGAGCAATATCTTCTATATCGAGTTGATGGGAAGAATATTTGTCGATTTGTGTTTGTGTTGGGGCAAATGGAGGATCAAAAAAGTTGCGGGACGGGGATAATGATTTTGAGGGTCGTTGTTGATGATCAGAAAGTGTATCTTTTGAACGACGAGTCTATAAATTTAACGAGATAAGGCGTAAAAAAGTAGAAGATAGTCCTAATGTGCGGATAGCCCGCTATATTCAAGATCATTATGTTTATAATCGTGATTTTAGATAAAACCACAACTTTTAAAGATGTCATTGTCATACAGGAGCAGGTCAATGTATAACTTCGTTCAAAGTGGTCGAATAGGGAACGCCTTGGTATTGTCCGATGCGTCTTGAAAAGCTGAATCGGGCCATGCCATGGTGTCCCAGATTCGACCACGTTGAAAGAAGTCATAGCTCTGAGGTGCATTGGGCTTACGGTACATTGGGGTGTACCATTGTCATAAATTCTAGTAATCCTGAAAAATTCCAAAAATGTTGTTACGAGAATGAACTTCACGAAAATATTAATCTCGATAACCGAGGTTTTGGATCAATATTTATTTTCGGCACAACCCGAGTATCATATTTACCTACTTGATTAAAAGGTTAGAAATCAAATAAAAAACTACCTTATTCGAAACCAAATATTCATTATCCACATTACCAACACTTTTTCCTTTTCTTGAACTATGTGTTGTTGTTGTTGCCAAATCCCCATTTTTAATTGAAGACAACCCCAATTCTCTATTTAAATAATTATTAGATTCTTGTTCCAGTATTTTAGCCTTTTCAGCTTCCAAAATTCCAATAATCTTCTCCTTTGGAATATCATCGTGTCTCCACCGTCCTCCTCCTCTTTCCCCTCCACCTCTTTCAGTCCCTTCATTTACTGCTTCCATTTTTAAATTTTTTGTATTATTTTTATATTGTAAATAGTCTGGAGATAATGGCATTATTTCAGTTTTAATATCTCTTAAAACTGAGTTGTTTGGAGGTTGGATAGGATTGACTTGTCGTAGAGATACTAAAAAATAGAAAAATAAAAAGAAGAGGATTATGGGGCCTATGAAGGGTTGTGGGCCTATTCCAACAAGCGACAGTGACATCAAAATGTCGATGTCAATCGCAAATGTCCAAATGTCAATCGCGACAGTGACATTGACATAGGATTATGTCCCACTAAATAATAATTTTGAAGTCGCTTATGAAACTAGGGTTGCACCCCTCACGCTCGGGGCGGGTATGTCGGGGTACGGGGGTTTCAAATTGATTCGGGGCGGGTTCGGGTCGGGGGAGCAAAATATGGTCGAGGTACGGGGCGGGGTGCAACTCTATGTGAAACACAATCGCAATCGGAATGTCGAGCGATTGCCAAATGTCACGACATCTGATGTCAATGCCGTTCTGTGGAATAGAACCATGGAGTAGTTGATCTTTAAAATGTTGTGGAAGAGAATTTTTAAACGACCTTTTTTGTCGACTAATGTTGGAGGCTCAAAAATTGCTGTTGTTGTTTCCCCATCCAAATTATCCTCTGGTGATGCAATGAAGGTTTGAGGGTCTGGATGTATCACCTTATCTGGACAAGCACCTTTACGATGATTTAATTGGCAGAGTAAGTCAATAACGATATCGTCAGATATCCATCCATAAATTCGACGGAAGGAATCTCGCCCTTTATCTGTCAATTTGTTCCAAGGTCTTGGTTTGGAAAGAAGTTCGCTTAGTGAACCTTGTGACTGAAAAAAATTTTTTTGTGTTAATTTTAATTTTAAAAGGGACTAAGAAATGAGAAGTTAAATGACGTTAAAATTTTTAAAAATAAAATTAATTTAATGCCCTTTCATTAAAAAATTAAACATTATTTATGTCTGCACTATTGTGAAATTTTTTAAAATTTTAAAATCCAAAAAAACAGTCAACTCTCTCTAAAACAGTTAGTAAATTAAAATTTCCAAAGGTCCCAGATAATATTTCTCTAAAAAAATAACTCCCTGCATAATAAATCCTCTAAACCCGGTCAAGTCCTCTGAATCCGGTCAAAAGATGTAATAGGTATCAGGGATGGACCCTACCGAATTTTAAAAAGAGGAAGACGGAAGATAGACAAAATAAAACGTGAAATCGGAACACGGAAGTGAATATCCCTCTGCTGTGCACAGATATTTTAATTTGAAAATAACGCGAAACGCCAAACATAACGAAGAGTCTAGAGTAGGTTAAGAAGAGTCTGAGCCTAAAATTAGGGTAGTAATCCCTTGAAGACCCGACGATTTTTTGAAAAAACTCCTGACCCGAACCTCGAAGCTTCTACTCTGACAAACCCCAATCACCGACACACCCGACCCCGGAAGCTCGGGGTGCTACCCTACTTTGAAGTCATAAAATGTTAATTTCGAAATTAGTTCAATTTCTAATTTAAATAAATTTTCACCTGTGATACCTTACACATTACAGTACGTGCAAATAAGCGTTGCCCAATACCATATTCGCGCATTACTCGAGTACATTGAAGGGCCAATTCAGTTGTATTTAAATGACAATTTTCAATTTTGAGAATATTTGCGTCGATTCGAGACTTTAAAAATTAAAAAAAATTTTTCACAAAATTTCCCCGAACATACTTCAATCTCATTAGCAAGTTTTTGTTCTTCCGGAGTAAAGGGTTTTACAGTAGAAGTATGTGGAGTATTACCATTTGATTTTGCGCCTCCATTATTTTTGGATAGATGATTTGATGGATTTATTGACTTCTTTGAAGACTTTAAAAAATTTTTTAAGTAATTGTTATAGTTGTATGTATAGACGGAGCTCACTTAAAGATACTCTCAATACTAAATAAACCTCCATGTAAGAACGTTCATTAGTTTAGTTGGGGCTACTGGGTAAGGTTGGGGTTTCGGACTGGGCGACGTTCGAGCATTTTTTGGACCGAACCGACCGAGTCTTTTTTAGTCCAAAGTCCCAATCCTGCCGGCCCCCCCACCCTACTACTGGGTGAAGGAAGTTGCTTAAAGGATTAACTTCTATGCAAAGTAACTCTCATAATAAAGGATGATTTTTCTAAGGGTGTGTTTTATAGTACCTCTATTTAAGGTACGTTTTATAAAAGTTTCTTTGACCATTGGGCGAGGGGGGGGCTTCCCAAAAGATACCTCCAATTTAAGATAGGTAACGTTACTAAGGTTGCCAGATCCTGGGACATCCCTGGATATCCGTATACGTATGCGGAAATTTTCAGATATCCTGCCTTTTTCGGCCCGGATCCACCAACCCTACAAATATAAGTTACGATTTCTCAACTCTAACATAAGGGCTTATCATTTAGTGAGGTCATACTCTAAATAAAATTAAAAAAGACCATTATCCCCTAAAAATATTTTTAAAAAATTATTTTATTTACATTCAAATTGGGTGTCAAAAAATTATGTTTATTATTTGGCGTTGTAGTCAAAGGTGAAGAAATATTCAAAGACGATGTTGCTGTTAATTTTTGTTTATTATTCTTCAAAATATTTTCAATATTTTGCTTCTCGTTAGGGTGTGTTTCATTAATTAAAGTTTTGTTGTTGTTGTCAATTACCCCTCCATTCATTGCTTCACCTATTACACGTTGCATTACCTCCTCAAAATCTAAACTTTGTTGAAGTTGACGTTGGGAAGGAGTTTCTGTTAGTGCTGAATTGGTTGAATTTCGACGTGATTTGCTACGGCGATGAGAAGGAAAATTTTGTTGAGGGATAGAATCGTTGTGGAAAGTTGAGGTTGAAGCAAAAGAAGAGGATGGGGTTGGATCTACTTGAAAAATTTGAAAAATTTAGTCTATAAAGAATAAAAAGGTATTAAACCCTCTATTGTATTGAACTCTCTACATACCGACTTCTACTCAGAACTAGGACTTATCTTACAATTTACTAGAAAACCTTCTCCTATCCTTTCATGTGAGGGAGTCAACTGTGGTCCGGAATTTTACCAACAAGATTTTTCGAAATTTTGGTCCCCAAGTCAAAAAACGGAATATTATTGGGCTCTAAAATTTTTAGGCGTCGGAGTGAATTTATTAATTTATTCAAAAAATAAAATTAAAAAATCAAGGTGATCGTTAAATCGAGAAAGTTGATCATTAGAGAATTTTCCCTTAACAAGTGAATAGCGATCAAATCGAGTGATCAATCAAGCGGAAGTGATCAATTAGCGATCGAATAAGTGAACAAGAAAGAATGATCAAGTGATCATCCTCTCTGTTGATCAGCGGAGAGAATGAATCGACAAAGGAGTGATCAGTTATCGACAAGAGAGAATGATCAGTTGATCAAGAGAGAGAATGATCAGTTAACAACAAAAGTGATCAGATGATCAAAGAAACAAGTGTTTTTATTAATGATCCATAAGTAAACACTCCTCCTATCCTCTTCCGTTCATTATAAAAAGGGTCAAGTTTATTCCAAAAAATTTTGATCAACTTTCCCAATAAAAATTTCAATAAAAATTTTTATTCACCAGCCAAATTATTCGAATTATTTGTTGATTCCATTAAAAAACTAATAAGATTAGCAGCTGCTTCAGCAGCGTCCTGTGTTGATTGTTCTTGTCCCTCAAAATTATTTTGTTCTTCTTCCTCAACTTTATCTTCTTCATATTCATTTTCTTCCTTTAAAACTGGTTGTTGTGTTGTGGTTGTTATCGAAGCACTACCAAAAATAAGTGCAGCAGCAGGTAATAATGTAGCAGGATTTTCAGATATCATTTTGCATAATTGTTCAATTGGGATTAAATTTTGTTGTTGTTGCTGTTGATTTTCAGTCTCTTCAACATTATGATCAACTAAAAATTCAACCAAAAACTTTTTTTATAATTTGGCTTTTTATCGTTTTTTTAAATTGAAAGGATAGGATTTCGATATTAGATAAAAATAGTACGTTAAACGCGGCCCTAATGTGAGTCTACACAAATCTGCCTGATTGGATAAAATTTGAGAAAAGTTACGGAGACTATAAGTGTCAGTAAGACGTTAAATTAAAGGTATCGGTAAAGGATCAAACCGGAAACCAAGGATTTTTCGGTTCGGATCCGAATATCTGAAGACTTTCAAGATGTCTTCAACCCCAGTCTAGATACAAACAGGAATAGAATCTGAGACTTTATGAAAATCCAAAATCCCTACCATTCTGAAAAATTGAAGGGACTTCACAACTTTGTTGTTTTTGAATTATTGGAGGGCTTTTTAAGGAAGATTTCTTCTTCTTCGTACCCAAAATAATTTGTTGTTGTTGTTGTTTTTGAACATCTACAACACCATTTCTTTCATTAAAGCTTTGCAATTTAGCCAAAATATCGTCAGTTTGTAAATCATTTGATCGGATATTTTTATAAGGAGAAGTGTTTGTTGATTTGGGAGAGACAAAGGAAGGATTGTGTGAAATGGATGATCCGGAAGTCGACAATTTTTTTGAAACAAGGTCCCTAAAAATTGTTTAAAGTTTAGTATAGCTTCCTCAATTTGGTTAAAAAACACTGAAAAATTTCAAAATACCATATTATTCTACATAATAGCACCAAGGTCTCTCTTATAAAATGGAAGGGTTGAAAAATAGAACCACATGTGGTACTATTAGAATAAATACAGTATCCCTCACTCGTATACTATCCAAATCTTTCAGTTATATCAGAACCCCAACAATGATATTGCCGACAAAAAAATAAATTCCCAATCTTGGGAACAGGGAACCCCGAATCAAAAATTCCTGGGATTTCTAATTTCTTGAAAGTCGGGACGGCAGGATAATTAACACTTATACTCCCAGGAAAAGATCAGCTTATAATTAGAGTTGTACCCCGACCCCGTACCCCGACCCCGTTCCCGAACGATTTTCTCACGATTCTCCCCGACCCGAACCCCGCCCCGAAAAAAAGTGAAAACCCCGTTCCCCGGCCCAAAAAGTTTCGGGGTTACGGGGTTTTATACCCCTAAAAAATGTCATTTTTTGGAGAAATTAATGAAGAAAATTAAAAAAATTTCCACCCATTTTACTGGGCTTTTACTATTTTTGAAAGAAAAATGAATGAAATATCATAATTTTCTTTCCTTCTTTATTAAGAGACTTTTGGTTGAGTGGCTTAGTCGTTGGTTTTAGCCGATATTTCATTAATATAGGATTGGGTTCGGACCCATATAAGGATAACTCCGTTGTTTTTATATTTTTTCACAAAAACAAATTATTAACGAGTTAAATTTTAATTTGAAAATATTAATTTTATTTTTAACTGATATCCCTTGAACCACCCTTAATCCTTCAAACCCTCTGTATCACCACTTCTCAACCATAACAGTTGGTAAACTATCGAGGTCATGTTAAGGGAATCAGAGATATAAAGGGATTTGTAGGATATGGAAGAATTAAGGAGTTTTAAAGGGATATAAGGTTTAGATTAAAATGGATTTGAAAGGATTACGTGAATTTAACGGAATTAACAAGGATTTCGTGGGAGATTTAAGGAATAATCGAAGATATCTCCTGATATCCGTCCAAATACCCTTATACGCAATACATCAATATCCTTATAAATCACTAATATCCCTTGACCCAACAAAAATCACTCCAGATCACCTTGTATCCCTAGATATACCATTTAATCCCTAAAAATCACACTTAATCCTCCAGATCCACTTATATCCCAAGGTATACACTTTAATCCCTTCAAATCCCCTCTAATTTCTCCAAATCTTACTTAATTTTTGAATAAATCAACGAAAATATATCGATTTCTAATTATTTTTGAGCATTTTTTTCTTTAAAAATTTTTCCACTAAACCCCCGTACCCCGACCCGAACCCCGGCCATATTTTGCTCCCCCGACCCGAACCCCGCCCCGAAACAATTGGAAAACCCCGTACCCCGACATAGCCGCCCCCGAACGTTCGGGGTACAACCCTACTTATAATTGAGGTGGATGCCAGGAGATCCCCCTAAGATTTCTGTTTCACCTCGAAGCACTCTCATTGTAAGTATTATTAGCAGCATTCCTTCGGTATATTGCCAATTCATTCTGGAGCTTTTTGACAATCTCAGCCTGCCTTTCCAACTCCGTAACCAACTCATCCACTCGAATTTGAAACTCGCTAGTCTTGGAAAGGAGTGTAGAGCGTAACCGTTTATTTTCGTCTTTTAAAGTACGAATCTATAAAAAAATTTTTTTTTGAGACATTTTGTCCAAATCCTTCCAAATTACCCTTTCATCTTTTTGCTGCAATTGAAGAATATATTTCTCAACAGTTAAATGCCCTGAATTGGAAGTAGAGGTATTAGTAGTTGAATTAATAGACGATCCGGGTAGGTCAAAGAAGGAAGTAGTACCTCCATTTTGTGACTAGAAATTGAGAATTCTAATAAATTTATTTTTAGGCTTACTGTATGATTACTGTATTTACTCGATTAATTCTCCCATTCTAGAGATGGTTAAGGAAATAAATTTCGTCTTAATTCCCTTCTCGAATATTACAGGGATGAATCGAAAAAATAATTCTCACAGAGAAATTAATCAAGCAAATAAGGGCATCCCTATAGTCATCCTGACTAGAGATCAGGCATGGTCACGGATACTGAGCTTGGTATCCGTATCCGCATATTTACGGCGGATACAGCCGGATATCCGCAGGTATTTTGATATTATCTGTAACCATATCCGTATCCATGACCATGCCTGATAGAGATCGGAATTTTTGTAACCTAACGTATCCCGTAAAATAATACATTAAATACCGTGATCTTGAAAATTTTAGGGTCTAGGATCGAAATTTTAGGGTCGTTATATATTTAATACCGAGGAATACCAAAAAATACCGTCGGTATTAATGTGTGATCCGATTTCTAACCCTAATCCATGTCGCTTTTTAAAATTTTTCAGATATGAGTGGATCAACAAACACGAGGTTATAGAATCACCATTCAACTTCGAGATAAAAATTACTACAAAAAAAGGGGGGGGGGGGACAAAGCTTGGAATTACCCAAAATATCCTCCCACCTTTTTATTAAAGTCGTTTGCATTACTCGCATCATCATCTGAAGCTTGATGAGATCTGCAGATTGAATCACCATTATTATCTAATAATGTTGTTGTACTGGGTTCAGAAGTTTTAACCATTATTTTAACTAAGTATACTGTCAATAATAAGTAAATTAAATTTGAAATTGATTAAAACACGATAAAAATTAAATAATCAAGCTAAATTGAAATTAAGATGGTATCTTTTTACTGAACAAAATTTAAATCAAATTTCAAAGTGAGAGAGGTGAATAGTTTGATATAATAACTGTCTAAGTATCAGAGAGGAGTTTTTGGCTTCATGTTAATTTCTAGACTTTCTGAGCTTCTCGATCTAGGCTCTAAAGTTGGCGGATACTTGAAATCTTCGGATATATTCTTTAAATTAAGATTGTTCTGTGACGAGTGGCGACCCTAAGTGTGACGACCCTAAGTCATATTTTTGCGTTCGGAGTTTATCAAGCTTGATTTACATCCATAACTATGTATCCGGCAATTCTAACCTGGGCGATTGATTTTAAAAACCTTCTTATCAAAAATAAACTATTACAAAGTTAGAGAGACAAGAATCACAAAAAATGGTAATGTCATCGATAAGAACAAGTTAAGGTTTTAAAGGAGGCAAAAAAATGAGGAAAGGAGCGCAGTTAAGTTACTGGATGGGAAAATGCTTGTAAAATATTTTTAGTGATTTGGTCATATATTTGGGGTGTGATACGCGGCGATAGAGGAAAGAAGGTAGAAAAAAAATGTGGGCCGACACCATATAAATAAATATACAGAAAAGATGGGCAATAATCAAATGGCAAACACACGGAAAAGTGTGTTGTTTAGTTAGTTGTTATTGAGAGCATTTTTAGGAGTGATCGACAGAGGAGGAGAAGAATAAAAAATTGATTTGCTATACTTAAATAAATAAATATAAATTTATATAAAATATTATAATTTTTGAATATAATCAAGAGGACTATGAAGAGAGAGAAAATGAAGAGGCTGATCAGGCAGAGAGACGATTGATTAAGAATTATGGATTGAGATAAGTCAATTAAAGAGAGGTGAAGTGGAGATTCTCCCTATAGATGATTTAATAAGCTACCTAATCAAAATCAGCGAGGTAGGTAATAAGCAAAGATAGTCGACTCTTGATAACTTATCTCCCCAACAGCATGTCTCTCCATAATACGGTCCATCCAGAAGAAGGGGTGTTTTAGTGTGATTCTACCCCCAATAGGACGTCTTTCCTTATTATATATCGGCTCGATTCGGTTCCGAAGGTGACGTCTCGAGTCGCCTGACTATATACTGTCTTTGGGGGGTATTGCATAAATCCCCGAAGTATCACCCGGGTCGGTGAGGGGAGCCCTTCCTCTAAACCTTATTACGGAGAGACTTGCTGGTGATCCGGTGCCCAATCAAATTTTAGAAAACGTGTCTTAAATTGAAGAGTATCCAAGTTTCTAGGCCAAAAGTTGGGTTGCTTGCATGGTTGATTAGTTACAAGAATTTTTTCTTGTAAATTAGACATTTAAAAAAAATTAAAAAAAAATCTTAAAGATCAAAAACACACAAATATATATATAAAAACATTCGCCATCACTCAATTCACACACAATTTTTCTCCGATTGCGCGATCATTCTCCCTCAAATAGAGAGTAATGCTCACTTTTCTTGTCGATTGTTCACAGAGGGATGAAAAAAAAAAGAATTGGAGATCAAATAAAGATTATTTTTATATAGTAGAGCCCGCCAAATTTGAGTTGGGTGGTGGTGATTATTTCCTCAAAAAGAGGGAGAGTGTGTAATGTTTTTCTCTAAAAAATGGGTAAATTGGGGGGGGGGGGGGAAATTGAGAGGTTGTATAGTTTTTATTTATTTATTCAAAAATTAAAAATATACAACGAAAGGGAGTCCACTAACATCGTTGTCGGATAAATTTAAATAAAGTTTAAGTCAAAAAAAAAGTCATAAATGGGAGGTCAAAGGATATGCATAAAAACAAAACATCAATTATTAAATATAAAAAATTTTTTAAAAAATAAATAAAAAATATATTGTGATAGGTCTTTCCAACTGTAAAATATTAGAAAAAAATTGGTATGTATTTAATAGTAAAATATAATAATTTCTAAAAAAGTAATAATTTTTTTCTAATTATTTGACAGTTAGATTTTAGTATAAAAAATTAACTATATTGAGTATTGGGGAAGCCACACATGTATAAATAGTGTAGTAAACATATAATTTAATTTAAGTTATTAGATTTTTATGTAGAAATTTTTATGTAAATGTTTTTTGGGGAAATTACCATATTTTTTATTTTTATATTTAGTCTATTTTTTTATATTTCGTTTATAAATAGTTGAGTAATTCTGTGTTTAAAGGACAATATTGAGTGGGAGTTTAATGTAACTTTATCAAGAGTATTCCATAGTGAAGAGCTTCTATTAACAAAGGAATGAGCGTTTTTTGAGGATCTGCATTTAAACATAAGTCTATTAAATTGTTTATGAGATGGATGAGTAGAAAATCGGTATAGGTGAGTAGGATCTAAATGGGTAAACCCTTTAATAATTTTAAATGCAGTTACGAGGTCATAAATTTTTCTGCGGGTATTAAGAGATTGCAATCCAAAAAGTTTAAGTCTTTCAGGATAAGGAATTTTAGGTAACATGCATTTTTTGAGAGCAATAGATGTAAAGAATTTTTGGCATTTTTCAATTTGTATTATATTTTTTTTGAAATGAGGGTTCCAGATTTCGGGTGCATATTCAAGTATGGGTCTGATATAAGATTTATAGACTAATGTCCAAGTTCTAATGCTCCTAGATCTAATAGTTTTAAATAGAATTTTCATACGATAATAAGCATTTCGAACAATTGTGTCAAAATGTTTTTGAAAGGATAATTTATTATCAATTATAATTCCTAAATCTCTTATAGAATCTAAACCCATAATAATATTATCTCCAATTTTATATTTGTGCATTTGGTTATTTTTACCAAGATAGAGAACATAAGATTTATCTGAGGAAATATTAATACCCCATTGATCGCACCAAAGTTCAATATTAGTGATTGTTTCAGTTAGTATATTACATTGGGACAAGTCGAGATATCAGTCAAACAAGTCGAGATATCAGTCAAAAACCTTGGATCGGTATCTGATCAAGATCTGATTTAGTTTTTCAGAAAACTAGATCAGTCCGCGAAATTTCGATTTCGTAAGAAATTATCTTAGGTAACACTCTTATTTTCGGGAGAGTGTTACCGAAGAGATCAACGATGGGAGGGCTGGGAACAAATTCAGGTTGGGCTTCGAGACTAGTTTTCAAAATTGTCAACAGATCTGGTTTCGTATCGAAAAAAGCCCGGCTTTCGATTTCTGATTTTGGGTTACCCATCCGATCCTGGTAAGAATATGAATTTTGATAAGGCCTGCGAAGCATCATCAATACCCACTTATCAATATAAAGACTGATCAATCACTCCTAATCGATCTCTAATTAAAAATATTTAAACACTTGCAAGAATTACAAATATATTTTTAGTTAAAAATTTTGATAAATTTAAGGGAAAAATGTGATAAGAAAGGAATGATCATGATCATTCAACACAGCTAAATAATTTTATTTCTTAACAAAGGGAAATAAAAAAATAAAATAAAATTAATTTTTAAAATAGTCTCTTCCGTAATCTAAGAATATCTATTTTATTCAGTGATCGGAAAATTTAGTGATCAGATTGTCTGATCCAGTGATCGGAGAATTGAATGACAATAGGGGGTAATAGTTCGGTTCGTACCCCCCTCCTTTTTCCTTCCTAAAAGTATCAAAAACAGTCAGTCAGTCAAAGGTTATAGAACTCGTCGAGCTGTGTCGACTTTTAGGATGGAAGGAGAGGGGGGGGGGGGGGGGGGGGTACGAACCGAACTATTATTAAATAGGGGACAAAGAATTTTATGATTTGACTTATTTTACATAAAAGAATGTTAGGCAACTAAAAAAATTTGAATCCTAGTGATCCTGGCAATCACGGCACTGATTAGAGACTGGACTTGTTTGTTCTTTAAAAATGGCAATATTATATTTCCAACATCAACAAATTTATTTTCAAAAATAAAAAAAGGAAAAGAAAGTTAAAAAAAATAGGATCATATGTATACAAAAACTGACGCGCACAAAAAAAATAATTTTTAGGGAAGAAAACAGCAAAAAGGCAGGCCATATTTCAACAATCCCCATATACATACTTTCTAATAACTTTAAATTAGTTTTTTTATTTTTTTTTCTGATCAAAAGGAAAAAAAATAAGTGAATTAAAAAAGAAATGATGGGACACCGACAACAAAAAAATAATTTTTTTATATTTGAAGCCGTGAAAGAGTGTTTTTTAGGATAATAATTGTTTGATCATTAAAATTATTGTTTTTAAAAAATAAATAAAAATGTGGACACAATAAAAGTGTGAAGAAAATAAAAATAAAAATCATGAAAAAAAAAATAAAAAAAAAAATAAATTGATCAACTAAAATTTTTATTTTCTCCAAAATTTATTTTCAAAATTTATTTTTCAAAAATAAAAATATTTTTGGATAACTAAAAAATATTCCTTTAGTTGATCTCTTTAAAAATATACATTTTTAAAAATGTCCGTAAAATAAATTGCCTTTATTTTATTTACACAAAAACATTTTTTTAAATCAGAAAAATTATTTTTATAAAAATATTATTGGAGAAAATCATTTATGTGTACAAAGGAAAATTTATGGGATAAAGAAAATATTTTTTTAATAAATATGTATGCAATATTGTTACAAAATAGTAAATAAGTTACTTAAGTTTCTGTCTAATCAAAGATTGAAACTAGTTATCGGACAAAGACATAATCTCGATTTTTCGAGACCTTAATTTCAAGTCGTGACCGATCTTTAATTCAAGTCTCTAGTAATTGAGACTTGATTAGGGTTGACGGGTCCAGATATCCGAATCAGGAAAAAGCGGCAGAGTCTGGAAAACGTTCGGATATCCGAAACTTATCAGCTCGGATATTGGTTCGTGATTCCTGATCTGAAGACCGAAGATTTCTCAGGATCCGCCAACCTTAGACGGGACTATAATAGTTACTTAACTGGCCATTAATAATAAGAATTATTTTATTTGGTGAGTGAAAAGATTTAAAGTTTACTTGAACCTATATCCTAATGCTTGCAAGAATTTTACAATGATCAAATCTCTAATTGAGGAACTAGGCTTGATGGATTCTTAATAAAATCAAAGCTTAATTTACTTGATTATTCTCCTTAAAAATCATTTAAAAAGCAATATTTTTTCATTTGATTGCATCAGCAAAAAAGCATCAACACGAAAACTCTCTCAGCGGGTGGCCCACAATTTTCACTTTCCCTCCGTATTTTTAATAAAAAGTAGCGTCCTCATCCCTTCAACTAATCAACGCCTTCTTTTAAATATTAACGTCCATTTTTGCCTTGAAAATAAAGAAAAATGGACGAAGAAGAAGAAGAAAAAATTCTTCCCTCTTCTACTCATCACCCTTGATTTTTGGAGGGATTTTTGCCTAAAAATCGTTTCCTTAAACACAAGCGTATTTTCTCTCCATTTTTCTCCCCCAATTTTTCCTTTCTTCAACTTAACCACTTTTTTTAGCCGCTACACAGTTGCGCAGTTCAAATCACCCCCTTATTCCTACTTTTATTTACTCTCCTCTGTCTCTCTCTCCCTAGGGCCAAGCCATCAGTCCTCCTAAGAAAATAAAAGCAATATAAAAAATTGAAGAAAAATAGGTTGAAGATGGGGGTGTTTTAAAGTGCATTTGGTTAATGAAATAATTTGTTTTGGTCAATTTTGCCTGAGGGGAAATTATTAAAGTTTTGTTTGATCAGGAGAAAATGTTGACAGGAAAAATGTTGACCCAGACAATTATGTGAAGTAATTTGTCGGAGTCATTCTGTTATATCACTGGGTCAACTTATGCCTTTCCGATTTTAGGATCAGTCAATGCCTAAGGATTCTACTGCACATGCGAACCGACATTTGCGGACCGACATATGAGGATTGAAGTCATAGATTTTAGGATTGGTTTCGGCACACTCCTGAGCTACATATCCATTGATCTCAACTTTTTACAGATGAAAGGGGATAAGAAAACACCCCTCAACTTTACAAAAAAGACTGGGCCAACTTTGCCATTGCAGAGGGCATAATGCCCTCCTATAAGCACAATCCTCTCCTATCTATACAATGCCCTCCTATATGTTGTCCTTATTTCTTATGATCCTTAATAAAAATGAATTTGACTATCCCATCGGGTAGATCCTTTAACTAAAAAAGGTATGATCAATAACTCGTCATAGTCCAATCACTAATCATTAAAGGGTGTTGATCAAACTTGGAGGTCTTTTGGATTTATTGACATTTGGTTCAATCATTAATGAGAACAAAGAAAGACATAGCGTTATAGCAGATGGCACAATGCCCCTCCGTTTCTTTCCATCACTTTTCTTTCACATGCTATCCATACACAAGTGGAGGATCAGAATAAGTCGCGCACAATGAGGGAGGGTTAAAAATATAAGAAAAAAAAGGAAAAAAAATTTGCGATTGCCCTGGAAGAGAAAATGAATGAAAAATGCATGTTTGGCCGACAGATGGCAAGTAGTTGGGTAGGGGTTGATGAATGAGTGAAAAATAGGAATTGTTTATAAATGGGCATAGAGCGATTTGTGTGAGGGGGATAAGAGCATGGATTGGAAAATTTATATAATTTATTTTTTAGTGTTATTGTCAAACAGATGCTCTCTTTTTTTAACCACAAAATTGTTAAGTAACCTTGAAATGATCAGAATAATGAATAAATTAGAAATAAATCACAAATCAAATAAATAGGGAAATGAGGGGAAGCGACATTTGCGAAGCGACATTTGTGGACAGAATTAACCAGCTATTGGAATTGGAACTTACGGAACTTGGAACTTGTCCGGAACTTTGGCCAAAGAATACAGGATACTACGGACTGACATTTGGGGATTGAGGGATCGACAAATGAAGGTCCACCATTCGAGGATTGAAGTTCGAAAATCGACACAAGAGATTGTTGGATTGAAATTTGAGGGTCGACACTCGAATATTAGGAATTGACACTTGGGGATTGCGGACAGATACTTGCGGATTGGCAGAAAAAGATTGAAGATAGACAGCTGGGGGAAAAGACATTTGAGGCATAAAACAAAAAGCTCGGAGGGTATCTGCAAGTATCGGGTTCACAATCGGATCTCTCTCTACCAAAAAAGATAATGAAAAATAAATTTAAGGGGAATTCATGGAGATTTTAATTTAAAAGTAAAAGTCAAAAAATTAAAAGAACATTTTAAATAAAAAAATTTTTTTAATTCGATTGGCTCTAATCTAGTTGTTATAATTGAATTTAAAAAGAAATTTGATCGGATAGCAAAATATTGTGAAGTGATTTATTTAATAAATAAGTCAAACGAGGTTGGAATTAAATAAATGATTAGTGAAAAAATTGAAAAATTGTTAGTATTTTTGGAATTTTTTAGGAAGTGATCCGAGAGCCTCTAAAACTACGGTGAATCATAAAAGAGAGGAAACATAGAAATAAGCCTCGCTTTTAAAGCAACTAATTCCTCCCCCAAATCATTCCTTTACTTTATAGAAAAAGGCATCGGCCAATTCCGATGTCCCAATTGGCTGCTTTCTTTTAACTCGATCTCCGCCCTTTTACTTGCCCTTTTCCTATTCAAAGGTAATCTAATAAATGAACATGCAGGTTATTATGTTGCTTAGCTAATGAGTAGAGTTGGCCGGTAACGGGATCGGCGGGATTATCCCGGTTTCCTTTAAGACCGATTTTGCTGATTCCGAGACCGACAGATAAACCCCGATGCTGATTTCGGTCAGTCCCGATCTTGAGCCGGGTCGGTATCGGGGCATCATTCCAAAATCCCAATCCCGATTTTATGTCAGAATCCCGATACCGGGCAACTCTACTAATGAGAGAATTAATTTATCTAAACTAAGTAAAACGCTGTGAAAATAAGATTTACATAATTATAAAAAATTATTGTCCTTTAACACTAACTTCTTAAGTGCTTCATTAAATGCATCTCATTAACATTGTCTTTCTCGATAGAAAAAGGTAGTTGAGAATACTAATCTACTATAAAATGAATGATCATTCTCAGGGATTGGTCGGAATAGATGAAGGTGGTGCTGGAAATCAGAACTGCCTGCACTATGAATTCCACACCTTATTAATTTAAATGATCAGATACATAGTGAGGTTATATGAGTGGTTATAAGATTTATCAGGAATTACTGGGCAAAAGTCACAATAAGGAAGCGAAATATCTTTATTGGTAACTCAAACCCCTGCCTAACGCCAACCCCACAACTAAGCATAAACCCCCAATGACGTTGATTCCCCACTAACTGCAGCTCAACGGGATAAGGCCAATTATACCAAAAATGACCTGATTCGACTTTAAGTGGTCTTACTAATTATTTAAGTAGTCTTACGGATGCTTGCAATGCAGTAGATCAGTAGAAAATAAACTGATTGGAAGAATTAAAATGAATATATTCTGTCAGAGGTTTACTGTGTGTCATTAAAAATTTCCATTTTTGCCCGAATAAAATATAGTAGTAATTTTAGATTGAATAAATAAACGATCTCAAAAAAAAAATGAAAGAAAGAAAATGGCAGCCAGGCAGCCGTCGCCATCACTCAAACAAGAATGAAAGGAAAATGTTGAGGCCTAGAGGTCTAAGGCTTCGTTCAACGGGACAAAATGCGCCAAACAACGGCTGACTGCTTTATTCAAGCCTCCGCCCTAAAATATTCTTATTCCTTTTAGCTATCGCTTGTGTCACTCACATCAGAGCAGACATCAACTAAATAACAGAAAATTGTGTGCCAAAGGCGGCTTGCCACCATTTATATGTATATTTATTGGCAAAAGGGAGAGAGAGATATTTTATGTTGGCAAACCTTCCCAACATCAACTACTGACTGCTATCGCTGAAAAGCTTTTTTGGCACTGATGAGAATGTTTAAGGGGGGATGAATGAGCAGTTGGTTTATAAAAAGTAGTAGAAAAAAAAATAGAAAATGAGCGGAGCGAATGGAATGGAAAAAATTGAAAGGAGAGTGCGCTGCCAAACATGGGAGGGAGACTGACTGGCTGAATGTGCGGGAAAATGAATTGAGGGGGAAGAGGGGGAGGGAGGTAAAAGCCGAGAAAGCTTCAAGCATTGGGCAAAATGAGAGAGTAATCGGATAGGCACTAAAAAAAGTTGAGATGAATCCCTTCCATCCCTTCCATTTTGTGACTGAATGAGAGATGGATTGTGTGACCCAACATAACCACCATCTATTTATTACTATATCGAAACATGCCAAAGGCATAGAGAGTTGAATATGTAATTAACTACTCTAGCAATAGAGTAAAGTAGCTGATACTGGCAGCTGCCAATAATTTTTTTATTTAATCTGTAGGGTAATTATTTGAGTTTATTGTGGAATGGAACGTAAAGTAAGAAAAATAAAAGTTAAATTTAAAAAGTTAAATTGCCTTCTGATAATATGATCAGAGCATGGATTAAGATTTCCAGAAAATCATGATTTTCTGGAATATTCTTAAAAATTTGGGGGTTTATTAAAAAATCAAAGTATTAGACAGGATTATGAAAATCCGTTCCAGGATCCTTTAACGAACTCCTGTGCCTACTCATTTACTGATATGAGAGGAATGATCCTAAATAGATACCGGATAGTTCGAGATCTTGCACAAAGATCAAGGCTAACGAGATCGAGACTCTTTGAGATCTCGATTGTCGTAGGACACTCCCGGTACGGTCTTTAATCCAAAATGAGGAATAATATCCTAAAATAAGTAGATCAACAAATACAAAATTTTTTAGATAAATAGACTACTGTGAGGGTCGTACGGGAATCGAGATCGGTATCTAAGAAAATCTTGATTCTAGATACCTATCCGAGATTTCTCGAGTAAAGATTAATTTTAAGAATTTAATAATATTTTTAAAATACTGTAAAAACGAAATATTCTTAAAAATAAGAAAAAATGTGTATAGTTTTTAATTGTTTGGTTGATAGTAGTAGCTACTTTACTTTTTACGATTTTCATTCTAAAATTTCTTTTTTCTTTTTTTTTTTTGTTGACTGACTGATGGTTGAGAAAGGATTGGCACACAAATTCACAAAGCTTAAACAAAATTGCTTTCATTTTCTTTTCTTTCAGTGCCGCATTTTCCATTTTTAGTAGTGTCTGCCCCCTATTCAGGCACTCACATACTTGTGTGTGTGTTTATTTTCCATCGGTCGCCTCTGGCAAAGCCTTCCATTCAATCCCATCAAGCCGTCCATTTCCGATGGGGCTTTTGAATAGCTTAAATGTTAGCTACTACTATCCCCCTCTCTCCCACCAATTTATTTTTTTCTTTCCATCAAGTCCATTTATGGAGAAAGAGAATTGACTGGCACATAAAATGCCAAATCCAAATAATGCCAAATAGTCCAGAAAGACAAAATGGCAAATTGAGGCAATAGCTAAACCTATGGGTATTGGTTCGACGCTTGTGCAAATCCCTTGATTCGCGCGGGATTTTGCGGCGGGAGTCAGCGGCGGGAGTTAACGGTTGCATGGTTCCGGGGGTGTTATTACGAAGTAAGGGTTAATCAACCCTCAGCTGCGGGTAGGTTAACCCAAAACCCTTATTGAAAAATGCGGGTAAGGGTAACCCTAAGTTGTGGGTTAGTTACCCGGGTAATAGAACCCGCAGCTGTGGGTCAGGTTCTTACCCTCATTGCAAGATGATCTTTTGGCATTATTTGGGATTTGACATTTTATGCGGCACGGAATTGTCTGGCACACAAACATAACCAATGAACAGTAAAAATAAAGAAAAAATAAAAGTAGAGAAATAGAAATATGGCAAAAACATTCCTTTCTCTATCCAAACATTCTTTGTTTGCATGAATAAATGAGAGGGGAGAGAAACAAAAAACTCAAGAAAAAAATTAAAAACATGCCTAGTTTTGAGGGGTATTAAATAAGTAAATGGGGTTGATGAGGAAGGAGAGCTTTTGGCTGTAGTGTAGTGTACCGGTGGTAAAAGTTCGGGACGTGACATATGTCATTCGATTCGTCTCGACGAGCTGAGTCGAATGGTACCACTCACTATTTTAGGAAATAATTCTGGACCGAGTTATAGGTCCCGAAAAATCGAAAAACCAAAGGGGGGACCAAGCACTTTTTTGGGGTGAAAAATTCGAAAATACAAATTATACCTCATTCGAAAGAGCTCGTCGAGCTGAGTCGAATGACACCAAAATCAACAAAATCCGACTTGATTTGACAAAGTTATGACCGTTTGTTTTAGCTCCTTACCTATGGCATCTGTGGAGATTTTTGTTGCTACGGAGGCCCCAAATACGTCCAGAGCAATGGAAATAGGAATAGGTTTATGTTACGAGCCCAGACCCAGCGCCCGTAGACTCCCCGCGAGGCGCGTGCCGCAAAACCCCGCGCGAAGCGCGGGGTTTTGCACAAGCGCCTCGCCGACGCTCCATAGGTTTAGGTATTTTGTTTTTTGTATCATAACTTTGTCAAAACTTGTGCAATCAAGATGGTTTTGGTGTCATTCGATTCAGCTCGACGAGCTCTCTCGAACGAGCTAACATTTGTATATTCAAATTTTTTGAACCCTAAAATTTTCAAAATTCGGGGGTCTGTAACTCGGCCATATGAAGTCGAATTTTGTTGATTTTGGTGTCATTCGACTCAGCCCGACGAGCTCTTTCGAATGAGGTATAATTTGTATTTTCGAATTTTTCACCCCAAAAAAGTGCTTGGTCCCCCCTTTGGTTTTTCGATTTTTCGGGACCTATAACTCGGTCCAGAATTATTTCCTAAAGTAGCGAGTGGTACCATTCGACTCAGCTCGTCGAGACGAATCGAATGACATATGTCACGTCCCGAACTTTTACCACCGGTACACTACACTATATCCGAGCTTTTTCTCTATTTTTGGATTAATGCAATCTTTAAAATTCGATATGGCCTTAATTATTCTCGTTTTCTCTTTTTTCTTTTAGCTTTTAAATGAAAGAGAGGGAATGTACTTTATATATGTATAAATTTTAATTATAAGCTTAAAATTTAGCTAAATCTACCAAAAAATAATTTTATAAACGAATAATATTACAGTAAAGCAGTAACAAACTCGGAGGAATAAGAGAAAATGTCCGTTATATCGAGTGGGTTATATCGAATGATCAGAGATGGAGGCCAAGAAATTGAAAGAGCTGCTCATCAGAGCTGCTTAAAAATAAAAAAATAGTCGAAATTCAAAAATTTGGAATAAGCAAGGCCGAAAATCGAGATTTCGCGCAGCCCTGATTAGGTGAGTCTGACTAATACACCATCTCTCAGAAAGTATGGAATGGCGTATTGGTCGAACGGTGTTTTGCCAAGACACGACTCTGATCATTCTACATATTTAAAGGTGTTTTGAATTTTTAATGCTTAATGTAATATCTAAAATCTCGAGATAATTCTTTGAGTAATAGACAAAATAAAAATAAATTAAGAACAATTGTATTTTTAATAAAATAATTAAAATAATAAAGAGAAAATGGTTGAAAAGTTGACTATAGATAAGGACGCCGCTTAAACCAAATTAAATTTAATTATTGAATCGTTAATTTAATATTGAAATTATATGGTAATTAGCCTCGATTAAAAATTTTTTTAATGAACAAGGAGGGAGAGAAATTGAGGTAATGATTACCTTTATGAAGCAATAATTCACCTAGCAATAAATCATAGATCGACTTTCTCTCCCCTCACCTCAGCAAAAGATTTTGGTAAGGAGATCTGGCTAAACTTGGAAAAAATGGAAAATCGTTAAGGATATAGAGAGAGAAAGTGTCAATAAGAACATATACCTGCCTCTGCTTGTTGGAGGTGAACGAACGCACACCGCTACCCCAAAAATGGGCAGATCGCTCGCTTCACTCATTTATTTATAAATAAATATATTCATTCACTCATTCGCCAACCCATCACTTTTACTAAACTCTACCTAACTCTCATCACCATCATCATCATAATTTTCCTCTCGACCAGCCGAATCTATTCACTCACACTTGGAAATGAAAAGTTGAATTGAGCTGCTCACATCAATGTCAGTCAGTCAGCTGCCCAAATTGGTATAAAATATAGAGGAACGGAGGGAATTTTTTTTTGTATGTTTGATGAGGAAATGAATGGAATATTTAGAGGGAGAGAAGGATTGACTGATCTACTACAGCCTATTTTGACTGGGAAAAGGAAGGACGAACAATAGCCGAGTTGGCTATAGAAAGTTATATTCAGTTGATCACTTATGGTTAAAAACATTTATTTTTCGAGTTATAAAAATTTTTTACTTGAAAGATTATCAAAATCTAATTGCTAGAAAATTTAAAAATATAAAAAAAAATTTTTAAAAATATCTGACGAGAGTGGGATTCGAACCCACGCCTCCGAAGAGACTGGTGCCTTAAACCAGCGCCTTAGACCGCTCGGCCATCTCGCCTTTCAATGGCCTTTCTTTTCTAAACTATTTAACGTTAATTATTATTTGATCATACAAACAAACTCATTGTTAAATAGTTGTTTCAGGTATAAAATGAGATAGTTACAAATTTTAAAAATCAGGTATGACTAGAATATATTGATCGGACAACTTTCTTTATTTTTCTCATTAATTTAAAAATACTTTATTGCACAAATTTAATTTTTTTATTAACTTGGGGTTAGGTTAAGTGGTGATAGGATGTTCTGGTATTATTCATAGCTGTTCTACGAGAGTGGATTTATTGCTGTTGTAGCATTTTCGATTCCAATTTACTTCAATAGTAACACAATATTTCTCCTTACATTAAAGCTACAATTACTCATAATAAAATAATCTTTTTCTCTTTAACCTTGTCAAATCGTTAAAGCAATTTTAAAAATTCACTCTCAAACAAGCTGCACAAAATCGAGTTTCCAATGGCAACAGAGGATCATTCATAGCCGGAAGGAGAACTAATTTTGAAATACTTTTGATTTATAAAAAGAGGGAAAAAATAAAAAAAGATAAGCGAATTGGCTAAAGAAGTTTTTAAGTTGATCATTTATTTATAAAATCTTTGTTTTTTTAATTTATTTTACTTTGTTAAAAAATATTTTTATCACAAAAATCATTAAGATTTAACCCTAAAGAATTTTAAAATTCAAAAAAATTTTTTTAAAAATATCTGACGAGAGTGGGATTCGAACCCACGCCTCCGAAGAGACTGGTGCCTTAAACCAGCGCCTTAGACCGCTCGGCCATCTCGCCTCCTACCAGTTATTTCTAAAATAATCTTAAAACTCATATAAAAAATAGCAAGAATCACTGCTAAATTATAGAACAAATGCTTAATTGTATCTAAATAAAGTTTATTTGTTTAATTAATATTTTATTAGATATTTTAACTGATAATTAAAATTATTAAGAATTTTAAAATTTATAAAAAATTTTAAAAGGAATTTTTAGAATTTGTCATTTCAATTTTTCGATAATTATTTTATTGATAGTAGTCACTGATAAGAGAATCCTTTATCAATCAAAATTTTAAAAATTCCTTTATACTTTTAATTATTTTAATCATTTTATTATAATCTTTTTAAATTATTTTTATTAATTATTTAAATTATTTAATTATCGAATTTTCCCTTAGTTTTAATTAAAATTTAGCTAAAAAATAGTCTCCAATTTCGACATAAAAATGTGAAAATTAATTGTATGTACGACTTAAAAATAAACTATGTATAATCAGTTTATTACGACTCCCGTTCCCTCTTACATTCCTTTATAGCAGAGGCCGATCGGAAATGACTAAGGTGCTGGAAATCGGAACTCGGAAATTGGAACTTGGAACTCGGGACTTGGAAATCGGAACTTGGAAATCAGAACTTGGAACTCGGAAATCAGCTCAAATTTCCGGAAATCGTGAGTCAAGATTGGAATTCCGTTCGACCTCTGCTTTATACGTCTACTCAATTTGAACTCGAAACTCGTTTTTATATTCCGTTTCGTCGAAAATAAATTTGAGTTTAAGGCTGTTCTGACCCACAATGGAGTCGTTATAGAGAGAGATTTCTATTGTAATCCTTCCGTTTTATAAAATAAAAAAAATGAAAAGTATTTATTTATTTCCTCATTCTCGTGTTTTCAACAAAATTTTGTGACTAAATTTATCACAAATAAAATTTAAGTATTTACAAAAATCGAGAAAAAAATATCGAGAAAAATAAAAAAAATATTTTTAACCGACTGAAAAGAAAATTTCTCTCACTCATTTTTTGTTTGTTTACCTTAAAAATAATAAATAAACAAGTTTAAAAGACAGACAATTTTTAACATTTTTTATTTTGATAAAATTTTCTTTTTTTTTAACTTAAAATTCGCTTAAAAATCGAAAAAAATTTTTTGGACATTTTGTACCCAATTTAAAAAAATTTTTTCTCTTTTTTTCAAAAATTTAAACAAAAAAAGACAAAAAAATAGGATTCATTTTTTCTTTAGAATTGTTCATTTATTCAATTTTTATTGAATAAAAATAAATTTTTTTAAAAGAAATCCAAGGCCATTTATTTCGCAAAAAGGGGTAAAATTGAGTCTGGGAATAAGGGGAATTTTTTAAAGAATTTTTTTGGATTTTTTAAATTAATCAATAAAATTATTTTTTAAAAATTTTTAAAAATAAAGTTTTAAAAAAATTCGGAAAAAAATTTTCTGGAAATTTTTTTAGAAAATTTTTAAAGTCAAAAATCTCTTTTATTTTAAGACTCTAATCGAAAGGAATTGAAATTAAATAAAACCACAAAAAATTATTTCCTATTTGCCCCATAAATGAAGAATAATCCCCTTCCATCCCTTGAACAATGAGGAAGAACAACCATTCCTTCAAAACAATATGTCTCCTCACTAGGGTTTATTCTATTCCTTTCCTGGACCGAACCGAAGAACCGATGATTTTTTTGTTCTTCAGTTCGGTTTCGGATATCCGAAGAATTTCCAGGAACCGACGACCCTACTCCTCACTCTATTCCATCTTTATTTTAAGACTCTAATCGAAAAATAAATTGAAAATAAATAAAATTAACATTATCAATCATTTCCTTTCTCAATTTTTAATTTATCAGCCACCCTCTCCCTCTCCTCTCCTTCCTATTTTTACAACAACAAAGCGTTCGAAAAAAAATTTTTTTGGGGAAAGAATAAAAACAAGGGGAAGAAACAATAAAAACAAATAAAAAAATATTTTATCTAAGCCCCATTAAATTTTCATATCAGCAAAATTTTATTTTTTTTAATTTTTTTGTGCACATTTCTTAAAAATTTATAAAATATTTTCAAACATCGTTGAAATAAAAATTTATTTTTAAAAATGTTCATTTTTCAACTTGTTTACTAATTTAGTAAAGAAAGGGTGTGATGACTGCGCGAGATTTATTACTTTAAAACACACTACAAAATTAAAATTTGTATTTGTAAACAAATACAGTCGGACCTTATTTTTGTATACTCCCTTAGACTGAAAAAATTGATAGAAAAATCGTTGACTATAATGAAGGGTACACCAAAGTTTGGGTATCACTTAGACCGATCCTGTCCATCTCCTTCTAAACTAAATTTATAAGGGACGTAAACTAAAAAGAGATTGGGAGTCTGCGGACTGATTTAAATATCAATATCGAATTATTTTTTTCAACATTTATCAATTCAAGTGTTCCTCGCTTTTCCTCATAGCCCCATATCAGTAATAATTATTTATTCAATTAGGGAGGTTTCCTATTGTGTCCAGTTCAGACCTGGTCACGGTTATGGATACAGATAATATCAAAATGCCTGCGGATATCCGCCTGTATCCGTCTGTATTCGCCGTAAATCTGCGGATACGGATACCAAGATCAGTATCCGTGACCAGGTCTGGTCTAGTTAACGAAATTTGGGGAATTTGAGATTTTTTTGAAAATTCCCCGAGCTTTCTCCTCCCCTCGATCTATTTATTAATATCTTCAAAATCGACTCAAGCCTTTTTAATTTCGATTTTGTGTTAAATTCTCGACCAAAACACATGACTATGAGAATTATTTAAATACTTTGGATGGAAATAATTTATTTATTTATATAAATATTTTAACAAACAATTACCATGCGTTACCTGTCACATAAACTAATTTTAAAATAAAAAATAATCATGTGTTTTAAACGTGTCATTTTTTCCTTGGTTATTATTCCAAACTACAAATACACTTAATCCTTTTATTGAGAATTAAAAAAAAATTTTTTTCTAAAGGTCCAAATTAAACTTTTAAATACTTATACAAACAAATAATTAAAAAAAGTTTTTTTAAAATTATTTATTTAAACTTAATTTTTTTTAAATTTTTTTTTTTATAATTACTATTTGATTTTAATATTTAAAAAATTGTTTGATCAAATTTTATTTTTATTTTTATTCTACATATTATTTATATTTTTGACATCTTTTCCCAGTATTTATCCTTCTTCCTTTAATCCCCTTAAAAATTAAAAAATGATAAAAAGCGTTAGATAATTATTAGAAATTCGAAAATTACGGGGTAGTTCTTCTAAAATAAAAATATTTTCGAGGTGGATCGGAACAGTCAGAGGTGTCGGAAATCGGAAGAGCCGGAAATCGGAACTGGCTCAAAAGTCGGAACTCGGAAATCGGAAATCAGAATTTTTTTCGGAAATCGGAAGTTCTTGCCTAAATTTTTTACTCGTATTAATATTGGACATCTCTAAAGCTTTAGGTTCGATTCGATATCCGAAAACCTTCCCCTCCGTTTTGGACCTCCAAATAATTTTTTAGAACAGACACTACCTCTTTTAATGGTTAGCCAAATAAATATTTAAAGATTGGAGCTGTTTCGAAATAGAAAAAATCTTGGAAAATTGGAATTAAAAATCGAAATTTCGTCAATTCTAAACCAAAATTATTTTCTAAATTTTTTCTCGAATTTTTCAGATTTTTTAAAATTATTAAAACTCATTTTTCTCTACAAAAAAATTATTTTTTCCCCGTTACTAATATTTTAAAAATAAATTTCCCTCCCCTACATTTTTTATTATTTATTTTTAACATTTTTTGACGATTAAATATTACACGTTTTTTAAAGTTATGTGTATAATAATAGAAGATTTACACAGTTTTTAATACCCCAAAAAATGTAAAAAAATTTTACATAATTATCACAGATATCTATTTTTATTATTTTTACTCTTGACAGAATTTAGTAACAATTTTTTGGAATAAAAATTGTCGTATAAAATACTTTTGATAATTTGTATCAAAAAATATTTCAGTGATTTTTATTAGTCTAATATTTTTATTGAACCACATACTATACAGAGGTGGGTCGGGATTCCGATTTCCTACGTTTTTTCCTTCCGATTTCCGAGTTCCGACTTATGAGCCAGTTCCGATGTACGTCTCTTCCGATTTCCGACCAACCTCTGTTACTATACTTAGTTACCTAACTTATATTTTGAATGTAATATGAATGTTTTAATAAATCCACCATTAAATCAACTAAGTTTCTTGAGCCTCCTCCATTCATTTCCCAATCCTTAATTGACGCTCCAAAGGAACCTAGATCGGAACCTAGACAGGGAAGGTCAGCCCTTTGACAAATGAGCCTCCCTCACCACCGAAGGTATCTAGATCTGAATCCTAGACAGGGAATGTCAGAACACTTAACTAAACATTTGTTTGATGTTATCGGAAAAATACAAAAAATCGACAAGATGTCGAAACAAGCTGGGTTCTGATTTTCAATAAAAATCCTTGTAAACCTTTAGATTCTTTTAAAATTAGTCCCGAAAGCTCGTCTCCTTCGGGGTGAAATGCGCAGACGTAGCTGTTATTTGGAAGACTTGCTAACAAGCTTTAAAAAAACTTTTTTAAATTCGCTGAAAATTATTTTTTCATTTTTTAACTAAAAAATTATTTTTAGCTTTTCAGTTATAAAATAATATTAATTAAAAAATGTCTTCAAACGGCAGCTTTAACAACAACAAAGTTTCCCCCGCAGAAAAAAATAATTGTTCTATAATAAAATTGAATTATAATGATAATTCATTTAAATCCTCCCCTTTTCCAATTGATAACATTCCCCCACCTTTATATAACGAATTTGAGGGGGATAATGAAGGAAATAAAAATAATAAAAAGGAGAAAAATACACAATTAAATATAGACGAGAAAGGAAGATTGTATAGACAGAAGGGGCTCTCGTAAGAATTTTTTGAAGAAATTTTTTTTGAAAATTTTTTGAAAATTTTTCTCATTTTAGATTTAAAATCACCCTTCTCAATTTTTTGAAAACACTGGTTGGAGCAGGATTTCTTTCACTTCCGTTAGCTTTTCGAAATGCTGGATTATGGGTAATTAATATATTGTTAATCCTAACTATAGGATAGACATTTGGGGCTAAAAAGTGAATCTTATAGTGAGAAGTTTTTAAATAGAGAGGGTGAAGCAACCCCTTAAATAGAGAGAGTTAGCCAGTGAGGTTACCTCACCGAGATGTCTGTGGCTAACCAAATTTAAAAATGGTATTCAATTTAAGAAAAAAAAACGTTTGGAGAAAAATCAGAGAAAAAAGCAGATCTTATAATTAGATTCTTTTATTAAAAATGGGCTTGGACAATGAGATATGAATTATTTCAGGGAGACATTAGAGAAAATCTCGCTTATCATGACCGAGATTATTGACAGATCACAAAGCCCGATCTCTAATAACCACATGCTTATAAATTTCTAAATCAATGTTCCACACTAGCATGTCTCCTCAACTATCACGTCCCTGATAGAACGTGATATCCATGGGATTCTGTTTAAAATATTAAAATTTAATTTTCTTCTTAATAATAGAGCGGCCTTATAATGACTGTTGTTTTTGCCTTCTTAAATTGTTTGTGTATGATGCAGTTGGTTAAGTGTGCTCAATATTTTTATCGACAGTAAACATAAATTACTTAATAATTTCAAGAAATCTTAAATTTCCACAGGTCAGGCATCCCCTTCCTAAGCTATGGGGATCTTGCTCGACATTCTTGTTCAACAAGCTTTAGTTGGATACGTCCATATAAGAATTTTGCAAAGTAGGGGAGTTGAAAATAGGGGAGTTCAAAAAATAATCAAAAAAAAATTTTAAGGGCACTAGTTGATACTACCATACTCTTTTTGGAATTCGGCTTTTGCAGTACTTACTATTTATTTATTGCAATCACTTTGAAAGAAGTAAAATTTATTCTTGATTCTTTGGAATCTCTTTCTTTCCAATCTCTCTTATAGTGATTTTAGATCACTAAAGGATCCGTCGGGCACTTAAAAGGGTTACCTTTGCCAGGGAACTTAAAAAATTTTTTATATCACTAGACTAGGGTTGTGGCTTCCCATAATCCCTGGGATATCCGATATCCGTACCGAAAATTTCAAAATATCCAGACTTTTTACTCAGATTCGGATCCACTAACCCTACTCTGGACATTTTTTGTTGGATTCCTCAATGACTGGGTTTCCTCATTTGGCAAAAATTTAGAGAGTATTTTCGTTTCAATATTACTCCTCTCACCAATATATTAAATGTTTTTTAAAGTTTTACGAAGAATTTTTCCATTCTTCTGCTGGAACTCCATTTCAATGGTTAATGGCTATTTATGTTCCTATGGTCCTCTTCAATTTTTTGAGAACATTAAAATTTATTGCTTGGCTGAGTACAATAGGGAATTTTTGTATGGTTTCGAGTTTAGCCTTTCTCTTACAGGTTGACCCGAAAAAAATTTTTTTTGAATTTTTTTGAAATCTTTTTCAGTATGTCATTCGTTATCCAATCCATAGTATCGGAGAGATGCCTTTCTTCAATACCTTCGATGGATTACTGACCGCAGCCGGTTCAATCATCTACTCATTTGAAGCCCAGACACTTGTATTAATTATTAAACAGTTCCTGAATGGCTATGCGACACTTGCGGCCCGGCACTTGCGTTTTAGTCTCTTATTTCCAGCTTATATTCTAGCTGGGATAACGCCAGCACTAAATAAGCTTGTCTCAAACTTGTATCTCTTAACCTTTAAGAAATGAAATTTCATTTTGTATTCTTCCTTTTTACTCTACCCCCTAGGTTCGCAAATGTCGGGACGCAAGTGTCGCTCCTCGGTTCTGAATTTTTAATTAATTATTAAAAATTATTTTAAATTAATTATCAGAAGCCTTATCAGTTTAAAAAATTAAAAAATATTTTTACTCAAAAGGTCCTTCCAATGGAAAACAAATTAAAAAGACCCAGTCAAATGTTAGGACCATTCGGAATTCTCTCAAGTGGCATTTCTCTTGCAACTTTGGTTTATTCAAGTATTGGTTTCTTTGGATATGTTGCTTATGGTGATAAAATTAAAGGAAGTATTACACAGAATTTGCCTCAACATCAAATGTTGGTGTTAATAAAAAATTAGGACAAAAATATGCGCAAAAAAATTTTATCCGCAAATAGAGTCCGCAAATAAAATTTTTATCCGCAAAATTTTTGCGGACTAAATTTTTATCCGCAAATTTCTATCCGCAAAAATGTTGCACAACAAAATACAGTTTCCTTATGTCCGTATAAACGTTCAGAAATGTACCAAAATATTAGTGTTTCACCGGAACCGAAATTTTGACCGGAACCGGAACCGGATCCAATTTAAGTTCCGGTTCCCGGAACCGGAACTTTTCTAAGTTCCGGCCCGGAACCGGAACCGGAACTTTTAAAAAATTTTGCTAGCAAATATTAAAAAATTTGTTTTTCAAGTAGTGGTGTCGGTTTCGCCAAATTTTTCGATTAAATTAAGCCAAATTCTTCGGTTAATCGAAACCGAGCCGAATAACCTAACCGAAACTTTCAGTTAACCGAAAACGAACATACAAACCTAACCGAACAATCCAAATCAGACGTGGGCGAAACGTTTCGTTTCGTTTCGTTGTTTCGTTAGTTTCGTTATGTTTTTTCCTGTTTCGTCTCGTTTCGTGACGAAACACTTTTTAGTTTGTTTCGTTTCGTTTCGTTAACGAAACACCTCTGTTTCGTTAACGAAACATTACCCATTTTTTAGACCAAAATATTACCCAAAAACTGTAAAATTTTCCCCTTTGGTGATCAAAATTCAAAAAATTTTTGCCTGCGGCGCTGAAATCTGGATTTTAAGCGCCTACGGCGCATAATTTACTATATTTTTTTTGAATTTCTCGTTTGATTTTATTTTTTTAATATGCAAAGCTCGAATTCTATGCTAGATTAGGCATATAGAATCGATGTACCTCTTAATGCCAATCAGGGCAGGCGCAAGAGTTTCAATAAAGTTTAGTTTCAATAAACGAAAACGCAACTGATGGCAATGATCATGAATATGGTTGCCTTTTTTCGGGCCTGTTTCTATCGAGTCGGGCCAGTACGAGACTTTTCGGGCCAAATATCTTAGGCTCGACTCGATATTTTGGTCCGAGTCGGACTATTTTGGCAACCCTAATCATGAACGTTGTTATCAGTAAAAAAATCTGAGTTGAGAAATATCATTGGATTTGGCGGGAGCAATGGTGGTATAGGAAATTTGGAGAGAGTAAACGGATATCGGTGGATTTGGAGGGTTTAAAAAATTTAAAAAAATGCCGGGAATCAGGAACGGGTTTAGGCGATAGTAATTTCCGACAAAGTTAATTCCCTATTTTAGGGAATCAGGAAACGGGTCGGCAGGTCCCTGATATACATATACACATATACTCAACACATAATTCGAGCCTGGGACCACAATTTAAGGTCCCACTAAGCTATTAGATCAATTATAGGCCATAACTGGCCTAATAACGTGTCTAAAATCGAATAATTAAGAAAATAAAACCATTTTTATTAAATTTTTTGAAAATTAAAATGTTTCGTTTTGTTTCGTTTCGTTTCGCTAAATTTTTACTGTTTCGTCTCGTTTCGTTAACGAAACGATTTTTAAAAAATTTTGTTTCGTTTCGTTTCGTCTGAAAAAATTTTCGAGTTTCGCCCAGGTCTGATCCAAATCCCCTGCTATGCCAAATACCTCACCAACTTCATGATATCCTTTGATCCCCGAATTTCTTCGAATTATCCTTAATCCCACCAGATCCCTAGATATCAATCACCGATATGCCATTATAACTATTGATACATCGAAATCCCCAAATGTCACTCCAAATCTCCATTAATTCATGCGAATTTTAAATAATACCATATTTTTCCTTCTTTTTTAGCGCCGCAGGCGAAAATTTTGCGAATTTAGGAAGACCAAGTGAGAAATTCCAAGTTTTGGAAGGCCAAATCCCCAGCTATCCAATCCCTGGTATCTCCTTGCACAGCTCAATCCCTCGACATCACACCCAAATCCCTCTATATTACCTATGACCTCTTGAACTCACATAATGTAACTCAAAATCCATCTTCATCCATCCAAATCCCCCGATATACCAGCCAACTTACAAAAATTTTGGGATTTTAGGTGAAACAAGGATACATATTTCTTCCTTTTTAAGCGCCGCAGGCGAAAATTTTGAGAATTTGTGTGGACAAGGAGCTAGATTTCTTCGTTTTCTGGCGCCGCAGGCGAAAATTTTGAGAATTTTGAAAGGCCAACCGGTGAAAATATTGCAAGGCCAACCCATATTTTTTTAAAAAACTAATCCTTAGGGGTGTAAAAAAGTTCCGGTTTGCCCGGAACCTATTTGTAAACCGGAGCCGGAACCGGAACCAATTTGAGTTCCGGTTCCCGGAACCGGAACCAAAAAAACACCGGAACTTTCCGGAACCGGAACCGGAACTTCCGGTGAAACTCTACAAAATATAACTATCACTTAAACTCCAAAAATTAATCTATTCCACTAGATCCTTTACCCTCGTCAAAATGGCAATATGCATTTCTGTCCTAGCCTCGTTCCTTTTACAAATGTATGTAATTGTGGAAATTGTTTGGACAAAGTGCCGCAAACTTCTATTTGAGGAACAAATCGAAAATAAAATTTCCAAAGAGGATTACGAAAAAGAATCAAAAGATGATAGCTGTCAATATGAGGAGAAGGAAGTTACTGACAACAAACGTTGGATACCTTTGCTCCCTCAACATTTTAAATTGGGCACTGAATTGTTAGTTCGGACATTGTTGGTGACTGTTTGTTGTTAGTTTTTTGGAAAATAATCAGAAATATACTATCGTATTGCCTCTAATTGAATGCCCATGGATCTTATTTTTCAATCATCCTCCAAAGGCACATTCCATTAGAGGGGGAGTGGAAGGGGAGGTGTATTCAATTGGAAGAGAGATTCAATTTTCGCAATTTTGTGACATCCTTAAAAATATGTAGTCGGGTTTCACAAATATTTGAGGTGAAAAAACTGTATCTTAAATAGGGCATCTCGTTTGAGTGTATCGTTAGACAGTTACTCTCTCCCAAATTTTAAAAAATTTTAACTTAGGTAAATTGAGGTATATCTGGTATTGAGTATAGTAACTTTTAGTGGTCAAACGCATACCTATTCCCTCGTTCCAGTCTTCTCTCATAAAATAAAAATTTTTTTATTAAAGTTTTATTTGCCGCTGCCGTCCCCAACCTTGAACGAATTATTCCACTTGTCGGCATTACTTCCGGAATGCTTCTAGCCTTTGTCTACCCAACACTTATTGACCTTTTAACATTTTTGCCTCAATTACGGGCATCTTTTGGATGGAAATCTTTAAAAGTTCAGCTATTTATTTTGATTAATTTGGCCTTGGCGGCGGTTGGACTTTTTGGGATGGTAGCTGGTCTGAGAGCTAATATTATTGAAATATTGGCATCTACAGCAAGTCCGTCTTTGACAGAATCTGGATTGAATAACAATACCCAAATACATGCTAATATAAGCAATTTTACTTCATGATTCTCTTTTTGTATATAAAATATACTGTATGTTGTAGAATGGAATTCTCTCAAAAATTTTTGGGGTTTTTAATTATTTTTCTAATTTTTATAAATTATTCTACAACATATTCCACTAAAAATTGTGTTATATTAGCACTAATCTATATTTATTTAAAGTATATATTGAATAAAAATAGATAATAGGATTAATTATTTAGAGGATTGCATTGATCGAATGCGATATCTTCTAGGAGTTTAAAGGCCTTAAGTAACTCTTACCTCGATCCGATCTCCAATAGAGTGTTCATACTTGCAGAGAGTTAATAAACAAAAAATAAACTTCCATAGGGATGGATGGTGACATATTTCCTTGTGCCTGAGACTGGGTCCACTCCATGACAAAACCCTTTGATATCAGTATTAGCTTTCCTAACGAAATGCCTTCTTCGCAAAAATACCTTTTACCAAATTTGCCCCTTATTTCTTCAATTCATTTTAATTTTTAAATTTAAAAATTAATAAAAATTATAGTAAAAATTAAATTAGGCATTTAAATTACAAAATTAAAAAATTTTTTAAATTAAATTTCCAAATCTCCATCTTCAAATTTATATTCACAACATTCTTCTTCCTTTAAAATTAAAATATTCCTCTCTTCCCCATTTTTAATCATTTTTTCTTCATTGCTATGCCGCCTATGTTCCAAATTTTGTTGAATTCTTTCAATATTTTCTCCGCTCCTTTTAGCTTCAAGTAAAGAATGTCTAGAAGGTCTGTGGACCGTTATTGGAGTAAATAAAATTTTTGATTGACGTCTACTACTTAGAGTTGTTTGTTGGAGGTTTAGAAGATTGGTTGTTCCAACAGAAAGGTAGCTGGCGGACTCTCCACGTGAGAGGATGCGAATACGTGCAGAACCATTACCGCTAGTAGTTGTGAGACGTTCGGCAATGCTTACTTTAAAATGAGTTTTTTAAAGAACTTAAGAGAAGATATTTAAATTATGTTGCTAGATTAGCACTCTCAAGTCTCCTAAACTCCCTCACTCAAGAGCATCTTAAGTGCCTCATCGAGAGTCTCTTAAACTTCCTCCCTCAAGAGCCTCCTTAAACTCACTCCATCGAGAGCCTATTAAGCGCCTTCACTCAAGAGCCTCTTAAACTCCCTCACTCGAGAGCCTCCTAAACTCACCCCATCGAGAGTCTCTTTAGCGCCCTCCTTGAGACAGCTTAGTAAGCTTAGTAAATGGATTAGTAATGGACAGTTTAGCAAATGGAATTGGCAAGTCCGAAATGAGATCTCGAACGAAAAAGGCAGTTATCGAGATTGATATTATTTCGAGATATCGATCTCGATCGTCGTAGTCTCTCTCTTTCTCTTCAAGTCTTATCTCTAATTGAGAGGTCCTTTTAATATTTTTATCAAAAATTAACCGGCACTACAGCGTTTGGGTAGCGATGCTCTATGCAACAATGAAAACAAACTTGGCTCATATGCACTCTGTGCCTTAACGATAATTTTTAAATTCGTTTTAAAATGATTAAAATCACTTGATTTGTTGTAGTTTTAGTAGAGCCAGTAGTATTTTTAGAGTTGCTTTTGCTAATGGCATTTTTGGATTTATTACTATTTGTTCTATTAAGCATGGTTAATTCCATCCTTGTATTGTATAAATGAAACTGTTTGCAGCAATGCCCACAGCTTAGCCAGTTAGCTAAGGTGCTCAAAACACGAAGAAACCCTTTGCGGAAATTCTCAGAAACCAGTGGATACAGGATTGGATTTAATGTAGAATTACAATAAGCAAGAACCTAAAATTTTAATGTTTGATAATGATGAACTTATGCTAATAATTTTACGTATGCCAATATACTATAAGTAATTAAGAGTATATCTTAAATCGGAGGATGCTTAGGAATTTGCCCCATACCAGGATGAGACTTGTTGAGAAAAAAGTCGGTTGGGGTTTCAAAAATCCGGGTTTCTGGTATACGATTCAGACAACACATATACCTGCCCCAAACCTACTGGCCGGCCAATTTTAAATAATCTTCCCTTAAATTAGGGTCTTACCAATGGTGTGCGTATGTAAAAGAGCCCTTAAAGTTTATCACCTGCGGACAATATTTACAGACTTTTCCTTATCCTACTTATTTTTTGCCCGCAAAAAGTTAGGGGGATACCCTACTAATTTTTAAATTTTATTTTACTTGACTAAATATTTGTACAACCACAATAGGCTTTCCACCTCGCAATACCAACGTGTCTGGATAGATAACACCTTAAATAATTATTTTTCAAGAAAATTTAAACAGAAAATGCCTGAGGCAAAAAAACACAAATTTAACGGAAGCCAACAGACTGCCCAAATAATAACCACACATAGGACAAGTCTAGTAACCTTCCTTTTTGCTTTAATTGTTTCTGGTCGAGAACGGAGTGAACAGTTTGATCTTTCTGAATTGTTAGCGAATAATGAAGTTATCTAAATAATGATATATTTTTTGGAAATTTTGTGATAGAAATGATGATTTTAAAGGGGTTTTCAAAAATCCCAGTTCTAGTTTTAAAATTAAATTACTTATAATCATGTTTTAGGCATGCTCACTAGAGATCGTGCTGGACCTAAACCAATGCCTGGGTTTTTCCTGTACCCAGAGTCCAGGTCCATGCATTTTTTGACCTTCCTGGGGTTTTTCTGGGCCTGGGTTGTTCCTGGATTATAAGCACAAGATCCGGCTCAGCTCAATAAATCAAACTCCAGAGTCCAGGAACAGTTTCAGGCTTTTCAAAAATCTCGATCTCTAATGCTCACGCTTACGGATAGAATATTCAAGTTTTGATACTTGGAAACACAAAAATGGGCTGATAGGATAGCCATCTCCGCAAAATATTTACACATATTAATGATACAACTCCAACTCCGGCGTTTCCCTTATCTTGAAACTTTCGGGGAATCCCTTTCACTAAGGTAATACAACTCTCATTCACCAAAAGAGACCAACCTTTGTAGGTGGTATTTTTGTATTATTGTCAGTACTCGATCTAAAAGGAGCATACCACAATCTTTTAAGCATCAAATAGTAAAGAACACAAGTAATACCCAGAGGGAGACAATAACCAAAAATATTAAATGAAAAAAAGTAAAGGCGTGCCTTCAAAATTTAAATTTTAGATTCGAAAAATATTCAAAATTTACTTCAGCTACGGTAGCTAAACCTTGAGCAATTGATACAATAGAACAAGCTGAACGTTGTTCCATTATAAAAGTGTAACTATAGACGCCATGGATACGTCCGACCTTTAAAATTTTTCTTGATTCAATCTCGATTTTAGGGGCCCAGAATGTTCTTGTCCGCAACAGAAATTTGCGGACAAGACAAACTGGAACTTTGTCATTGTTCGATGCCTTTTCTAAGAATATGGCCTTATTTTTGAGGTCTTTTAGTTTATAATGAGGGCGAGGAGGGAAAGGAGTATCTTAAATAGGAGTCTATATCTCCTATATTATCATCTATAGGAAGATATTCTACTGTCGCTAATAGATAAGGCATTAAAAATTATAAAATACTTTTACCAATTTTGTAGAAATTTTTTAAATTTACGTCTAAAATATACCTGAATTTGAGATAATAAAATAACAGCATATACAATTAAGAGCACAAAGAAGGTATTTTTTGGGGTACTAAAAATAAATCTTATTAAGAGATCCTATTAAAATTCACCGGAGAGTCATAGATTCTACTGGGAATACAACAGCGAGAAATCTGTCAGCTGCCATTAATGTTAATGTCCAAACAGAGAAATAAGCAGAAGAATGCTTTAATTTTAAATTAGAAATTTTTAATCCCAAAATCTTCAAACCTGTAAATAGTTTATAAGAGGGCACATCCACGTAGGCAAAACCCATATTGGAAAGGCGTAGTCAATGGCTGAAAAAGTTTATTTACTTCGATGAAAACTTTCTAGACTGCTTAATCACTTTAAGGGAAAGTATAATAATACTTGATATATCAATCTAGTAATACTCGATATACCCTCCAGAGATCATCAGATAATTTATGGGACTCAGAGGTACCATACTAGAGATTTAAGGAACTCAAGATCGAAAGGATTTGGGGAACTAAAGGCAATACTTTAGATTCAGGGATCAAGGACACAAGGATTTAAACCATTGGATAAACAAGGACCTTACTATAAGGATTTTATTTCAAGAAAACATTTAGGGAAAGGATTCAGTGGACCTTTCAGGGAACCAAAAACCCGTGTTGTTTAGACCTCTAGATCGGGCTTAAATAACTATTTAATAAATAGAAGTCCTCGAATTTATGGTTTGAGTTATAGACTGTTTAATCCCTTAGATAAAGTTCGACTTGAAATTCTCTGGTAAAAGAACTATCATTTAAAAATCTACCAGTAAAAGGTATACACAACGTCAAAAACATCAAATCAGAACAAGTCAATCCAATAATTAAAGTATTAGTCGAATTCCTCATTTGTCTATTCAAAGCAACTATCACAACTAACAAATTCCCTACTAGCCCAAAAAGGGCAAACAAAGCAAAAATTGACGGAATTATAATCCCCACTAATCTCTCAAAATTTCGAGTTTCTTCATAAAATTTTAGGAAAAATAAAGTTTCGTTATCGACAATTTCGGAAAATTGTTGGGATGTTTTTGTTGTTTCTAATCGGCTAAATGTTGTTGTAAGTGTGTTGTTTGGGTTGAAATAGTCGAACAAAACGATGTTTGAAGTGTTGTTGGGCATTTTTTATTTATGTTTTTGTTATGTTTCAAACATTAAATTTCTGATTTTGTTTATTCTAATATAAATTCCGATTAGTTAAAAATTGATAGAAAAATTAAAAAAAAGGAGGATGGACCTCTCTATTCATTATCTAACACGTGCCTCTACGTTTGAGGCTCTTATCAAACCGCGTGTGTGGTCCGAATAATAAGGGTTTAGATAAAAGATAAATTTATTACCCGTATTCCCGTTAAAATATGGGGGTGTAATCGAACTAGATAGGTGACTTTTTTTGATAGCTTATTAACAAGCTACAACAGTATTTGGCGTTTTTGTTAACCTGTTTAATTAGAAAAAGAGAATTTGCTTATGGAGGGCTTTCGAATGATACAGGATTCATTCTGAATAAATCAAGCCAAAAAGGCAAGCCTTGTGTAAAAAAAGTAAACTTTATTATATTTGACTCGAGCGAAGGATCCTAAAAATCCCTTTGGTATGCATCAGGGAACATTCCCGAAATCGGTAATTAAAAATTTATCGGGAAGCCCGATTTCCCGAGAAGCGCGACTTAACTGAATTTTGTTTTATTGTCGGCTCGTTCCCTGATTTGTATGGCACGTGTTATAAAAACTAAAAGAATTTTCTTCCCTTTTTAACATTTTAAAATTCATTTTAAAATGAATTTTAATGAAAATTAAAGTTCTTAAATAGGGCATTTGGTTATTTTAACGTTTCACTAAATTGTTGTTCCCTGAATAAATAAAAAAGAAGGAAATGTGCCAAAAAGTGAAGTGCTAATCTAAAATTCAATTTCATTTCCGGGATGAGAGGAAAAAATACTTTTAGCTATTTACTTTTTTAATTAAAAAATGAAAAAGCGATAATTATCTCACTAAGAAAAAATTAAAATGTGTTAATTAGGGTTGTTGGTTCTAAGAAGTTTTTTGTATGGCTTAGAGAAAGCTTTCGAAACGTGAACATAATTAGCAGAAGAGGGGCAAAAGTGGGGTTTTCATATGTCCGAAAATCCCGTGTTTGCTAGTTCGGTTTCGATCGACAAACACGGCCTTACCATGGGCTTTACTAAAAGGTTAATTTATTAGAGTGGATTCCTAATATAAATTAGGTGTTAATTCTTTGTATTGGTCTCAGCGAAAGACATTCTAGGTGACTTTTTAGATGGACTTTTGAGTGGATTTACATTAGAATATTCCTTCATAGAATGACAAAAAATCTTTTTTTAACAAATAATTTCATTTCTTAAAAATTTGGCACAGTTCTAAAAATTATTATTAAAAAATAAGGGAGGTCCTTCAATTTTCTCATTTTTCTTTCAATTGCTTACGCAATTCTGTATAACTAACACATATCCAGGCTCTTTTTCAAATGAGCGCGAGCATAAAAAAATTTTTTTTTCTCCATGTATCATACGTTAATTTAGCGCTAACTAGTAAGTAGAAGTATTACTTACATGAAAAAATATAAAAAAATTTTCATTGACACATCCTTCCCTTTTTTTACTTTTTTTTTGCCAATTCCTCTCTCATTTTTTTAATTTTACCCTCAAAATGTCTATCCTTCTTGTCTTATTCAATCAGTGGTCGTCGCATCAATTTTCCCTTTTTTAAGAGAAATTGACACATAAAGCCCCTCTCCAAGAGCTAATTTACTTTTGGCATGATATTAAAACCTCTATATTCTTTTGCCTCAGGCAATCCTCAAATACGTCCCTTCAATACGTCATTAGCCGTTTTCTCTCTCAAATCCCCTTCCGTCCTAACCTTTGATGTTAAGGGGAAATAATTAATAAAATGAAGAAAGAACGAGTTTATCCTTGAAGGCTGGAAATTATTTGAAGAATAAAGATGAAGAATCAAAGACAATAGAAGATGAGTATTTCTATTGTCCTAGAGATTAATTTGAATGAAAATGAAAAATTATAACGTTAAATAAAGACAGGCTTATTTGTTAGTGCCTTAGAGCCAATAGAGCCTTACCAAGGCAGGCTCTATTGCAAAGCTGAAGCTTTTATCTAATTACGGAAGTTAACTCCACGAGTCTATATCTGACAGGAGTCTAGCCGACCCTATACCTAATTCCCGAAATTAGGGAATTTATTTTTGGGCCAGCTAGATCGCTCATCTAGGAGATAATATACAGACCAATTGAAAATTATGCAACTATACATATTACCTTTAAGAATTAAAAAAAATTTATTGGATATTAAATTTGTACCATATACATAAACAAAATTTTTAAACCCACAATATATATTATTTTACATCAATCTCTTTTATTTAGTCTCCATATTGTGTGCAACTTTAAATTAAATATTTAAAAATTAAAAAAATATCTACGTACTTGCAAAAATTGCAAGAATTTGGACAATTTTGAAGCATATAACAATCAGGTTTTCCATTGGTACGACAATAACATAGACCTTGCGTAGCCCAAGCTCCACAAAAATTGGAAGTGTCAGTACATTCTATAATATTTAATGACAATTCCAAGTAAATTTTGGACATTTCCAACCTTCAGGATAGCAATAAAGTTTATTAATTGCATCCACATCTGCTTGGGTCAGTCCTTTACGTTGGCCCATTAAGTCATCATTAATGTCCGGATTTACTTTTGAAGTCATTGTATGTAAACCGAAATCCCTTGCACCAATTTTATACGAGTAGTGCATTATACTATCACATTTATATTGAATGCCATAACTGCAAAATGTGATGAATATGAGAAACTAGCATGGGAATAGAGTCTGGATTTTGACAGGAGATGATATTCTTATCGAATCGAGTTCTCGATGGAAAATTTTGAAACATATTGAGAGTTCGAGACTGAGATTTCTCGTAATTATTGATGTCAACCCTCTAAAAACACCATTAGAAGAGCGATAATACAGTCATCTATGACGGTAATGCCCCGTGGCTACAAGGTTCTTATGGTTAACCTCATATCTAGGGGCATTACCAGTCATTTATAGTCTCTTAGAAAGGATGATGACCAGACTTTTAGTAGTGTACTCAAGCCTAAACGCATTTTATGGCTGTTTTTGTTACCTCGAGTAAGTTGAACCATCAGCTGGAACATAATAATCCAAAAACTGTGCATCAATATTATCCCAAAGAACAGTAATGCTGTCATCTCTATCTATTTTTCAGACTTCATTTTATTTTTAACATATTATTACCAGGTCGAATATGTTCGTGTTCAACACCAAGTGCATGCATTACTTCATGACAGGCTACTCCAGCCATATCATTGCATAGAAATGATAGGTAAATAGGATTAGATGGTGTATATACACCTATATAGCTTAATCCACAACTGAAGAAAAATGTAATTTTTAAGGAATAAGTATGTCGGATCACACTATAATATATCCCATATATTAGATATACAAGTTAAGATATTTTTATAGAAATTTGGTTGGCTACTGGATGGCTTTAAAGTTTGTTTGGCCTCTCAGTGTTTACTTGGTCTATTTGTTTGTAATTAAAGTTTACTTAACTATTTCTTGATTCGCTTAATAGTCTTAATCCCCTTGACCCCTCTTGATCGGTCTTCATCCCAACGAGGTATCTTATAAATGAGGTCCATCTATCTATCTATAAAATAAAACATACTAAGCGGTTGTCGGATACCTAACAAAATATATTGAGGAAATATTAGGAGGTCTGTCAGAAGTTGCATCAAGGTTAGTTTCCGTAAAACTAACACAGGTTTTCGAAGTAATCTCATTAATACAGGTTCTTATAACGTCTCTTTGTCTAGTATCTTGAAATAACAAAGAATTAACATTCGAAAAAATTCGAAAAAATCAGACTTAAGGATTTATCAAAACCATAAGGTATAGGCTTTCCAGCTGGCCACTTTCTTGTTGGAGAAGCCTTGAAATAAATTAGATTGCCAGCTCGTTTTCTTCGTCCATTACTTTCGTCGGGAATAGCGTAAGAATATTCCAGACTTGAATTAAGTTGGGCAATATAGGCTTCGGCCTGTTCTAAGGTGAGAAGGTTGTGACCATATAAACCGTTGTCTGCTGGTTTTGACTTAAATTTAAAACAGTACTGAGGTCCCTCAGAGGTGCCCTCATGCCGAGGGTCCCACTCTGTAAAATAAGGTTGGGGGCTTTCCAATGCAGAGCCTTAAGGCCCTATCATTCCGAGCCCCCACCCCTCACGACTTTTAAATAATGCCGAAGGCCCTCTTAACGTAATAGGCCCTCTCAAGCCCTCTCATAGCAAGGGTTCACCTCTTAAAATGATTCCAAAGATCCCCCACTCGTGTATTAAGATAGATTAGGGTACTTGTGAATTATTTAATATAAGTTTTTGCGGAATTATTCATACGGAAAAACCTTAGACATTTTCATGATCTCATGGTGAAAGCCCTCTCATTCCGAGCTCACTTTTTCAGTAGAATGCCGAATGCCTTCTAAAGGCCTCCTCTTTCTAGTATTGTACCCTCTTTCTATTGTATTAAAACAAGTTAAAAACCTACAAAATCATCAACCCCCACTTTTTCATAAATAATTTCTTTAAGTTCGTAAGTCCTCTGCATTTTTGTTTCCACATATTCATCAATTTCTTCAAGTGTTTTGTCTGGGCTATAAAATCGTTTAATTTTATTTTTTAATCCGTATGGAATAAAAACTATGCGAGTTTAAGCAGTGATATGTCATAATCAGCCAGGGTTGCACGGCTATTTTTATGTTCATCTTTATCTTGTTTACAACTATTTCCGGGACAATTTTTCTTTGAAATTTAAATTTTTTAAACTTTTCTCCTGCTTACCCTTAAAGCATCAATATGTTCCTGTTTCATTTTCTTGACCTTCCCAGGCGGCAACTTTTTCTTATATTTGTTTGGAAGCCCCTCTGTGGGATCTTTTATTTTGTGCTTTTTTGGTGGCTTTTTGGCATTCTTTTTGAATTTTGGAAACTAGAAAAATTCTTTGAAAATTTTTAATTCTTGACAAACTCACTTTTTTGCCTTTGCCTTTCCCTTTACCTGGACCATAAGGTGCTTCAGGTATTTCTCCTTCACTTATAATGTATTCAGGCTTACATTCTGGATCGTTCTGATTTTCTGTACAATACCTAAAGAAATTTAATTTTAGTAAACCTAACAGCTTCTTTTCCTTCCTCAAAAGTCCGCAAAATTTATTTAAGGGAGAATTTTGTCCGCAAAATAATTGCGGACAAAATTTGCGGACAAATAATTTTTTAAAATTTATTTAATGCCATAAACAACCGCATAATTCTCCGTTTAGCTGCTGGAGAATATCCATCAGCATCATCTGGCGCATAATAGTCGGCATCGACCCCATTAATCAATTTTTTCTGCTAAATTTAATTAATGAAGAAAATGGGTTTGTTCTGATAATACAATCAGATCTCAATTGTACCTTAGGGGAACCGAAGTTTTCGAAATCGAGTTACGACTTTTGTCATTCAAAAAAATTTTTTTACCTTGCCTTTCCCGTTCCCTCCTCCCTTATTTCCGTTCCCATTCCCTCCTCCTTTATCTTCTTTCCCTCCTCCTTTGTTCCCATTTCCTCCTCCCTTGTTTCCTTTTCCACCTCCATTGTCTAATTCCACTCCTTCAATAGTCTTTTCCACTACTCCTTTGTTTTCTTCTCCTCCTCCATTGTCTCCTGCCACCCCTTCATTGTTTTCTTCCCCACCTCCTTTGTCATTTCCTTTTCCATCTGTAAACTAGATCATGAAAATAAGCATTGAATGTTGATATGTTAGTCTATTAATATTTTTATCAGGGGAATTGTCGATATAAACAATAAATTCCCGATTTCAGGAATCAGATTACCGTCCAGAAGCGTCGGGAATTCTCTATTTTCGGGCATAGTGAATCTGAAGGGGCGTTCCCTGATCTATATGCCTATAAAGTTTCGGCCATATGTGTATGCTTTTACTCAAGTCCCTTCTGTTGAATGAGGATATAAAAATTATAGATCGTCCTGGATCTGGATCCAGATCTTGATTTTTATGGATCCAGAGTTAATATCAAGGATTCAGCTTTCTTTTATTTTTCCTCGACTCAAGGTCAAGAATCTGGTCAAAATCCTCAAGTTAAATCACGAATCAAGTGCAAGGTCTAGATTTTTTAAGATTTCTGGTCTCTATTAAAAATAGTCTTTTATCATTCATATTATTCAAAAATAACTGAATCCCCTCGAAAAATTTTTAATCCCATAAAATACAAATATAGATACAAATCTAACCTTTATTTTTATCACACTCTGTCAGAACAATAAAAAATAAAATTAAAAATATTAATAAAATATTTTTCATTTTTGGGTATTTCTTGATAGAATGATTATATTATTTATATATTTAAATGTTTTGTTTGTTTTGTTTGAATAAATAAATTTGTCATTTCCTCAATTCTTTTAAAAATTTTATTGTTAAAGCATAATTCCACGCAGCCTTTACCAACCCATGTTTATTTTTTTATTTTATAATTTTTTAACAATTTAGCCATTTAATCAATATTTTATAATTTTATTTCCGCCTAAAAACTTTGATTTTTTTGTCTTAGTTTTTCTAATTTCACAAAAAATCTTACAAATTTGGGAATAATTTTTTAAAAATAAAAGAAATCGAAAGACAGAAAGTCGATCCGTGCCCATTTCATTGTAGGAAGGACACGTCACTCGACACGTACCACTCAACACGGACGGGTGTCAAGTGTTGAGAGTCAAGTAGGGTTGTCGGTTCCTGGAAGATTTTCGGATATCCGAGAGCGAACTGAAGAACAGACACGAAAAATCCTCGGTTCTTCGGTTCGAGTCGGTGGGCTTCCGACAGCTCCAGTGCGACGTGTTCTTCCTGTAATGAGATAAAAAAGGCACGGAACAAAACGCTTGATCCATTGTGTGAGTAGTGTAAAAGGGATGATCCTGCCTTATTCAATAAAAATTGGAGATTAAAGCTTGTTTCAAAATTTGTAATCGAACTTTTATACGAATTTATTTTTAATACGAGCACAAGAAAAGAATATTTCAAGTAAAAGTATAGGCCAAAAATAAATTTACTTGCCTTAAATTTTCAATTTTTGGATTATCTCTCTTATATGCGTAAATCTTTTATTAATTATTTGAACACAAAATTAATAATATTTTTAATAATATTTTCAATAAACTATCAAAAATTTATCAAATTTTATATTTTACAAAATATTTATATTATTTTAATTAATGCCATGTGATGTACAACTTAAAAAAATAAATTTAATTAGAAAATTAAAAATTAAGAATTAAAAATATGTACTTGCAAAAATTGCAAGAATTTCGGCAGTTTCCAAGCATATAACAATCTGGCTGTGCTGTATTACCACAATAACATAAACCTTGTATAGCCCAACCCCCACAAAAATTGGAGTTGTCTGTACAGTCTGCTAAAAATAATTTTTGTTATAAGGGCTATCTCTCGAGATCTGAGGTTATCATTAAACCCTTGAAGGGGCTTGAGTGTTGACCACACTTATTTATAATTCTTATTGTCTGACTTATCCCTATTGACCCATTGGCAAGCTTAGGTACTCGGCTCATATCAAAATAGAGCTTAAACAAGATATATATCCTTAAGACATAGCAAGGATCTAGGCGACATAAAAATAAATTCCCGATTTCGGGAATCGTGATATATTCAGAAAAACGTCGGGAATTCACGATTCGCGGGAACCAGCAATTGGGTCGGTTAGATCCACAATACATTGAAGCAAGTCCGTTAAATATACATGCCTATGAGCAAACCCTTTGTTCGTTATCTTGATAAATCTACTAAGTTATTTGATATACCTCATAAAAAATATTTATTACCTTGTGGAAGGCGGCAATAAAGCTTATTAATTGCATCAACATCTGCTTGGGCTAATCCTTTACGTTGCCCCATTAAAGGATCGTTAATGTCCGGATCTACTTTTGCAGTCATTGTCTTTAGACCATAACTCCGTGCACTAGTAGTACTTGAATAGTGCATTATGCTGTCACAATGATAGGGAATTCCATAACTTAATAAATAAATTCAGATTTGTGGTATATCCCCCCTCTCTTTAGTGATCGAGCCAGTTAAGAGAAAATAGTTAAAACTAGGTTGGAATTGGCTCAATAACGACTAATGGCCCAATAAAGGCAGTTATTGCTAGGCAAGCATCATTCATTATGTTTATAATTTGCTTCCTGTTTCATAAATCTTAAACAATGAGACCCAGCTAACCTTTGTTTCCTTACAGCCTTTATTTGCTCAGCCAGACACCGCTCACCGATTTATTTATTGTCTTATCAAACAGGCTCATAGGTATATTAATCTTAACAGGCTCTTCCAACCAGCCCTATATATCCAGTCCTATGTTTCCAATATTGAGTGTCTTAGAGGTACCTCGAAATGACCGAATGCCTTATAAGACAGCCCTTGATTTAAGAGAGTCTTCAAACTACCTCGAATATTCTGCCGAATCTGCTAAGGCAAAAGAATCGTAAGATTGTGGATCAATATTAGTCCAATTCACAGTAATACTATCATCTCTATCTATTTTCAAATTTTCTCTTTTATTTTATTTGTAAGATTACCAGGTCGAACATGTTCGTGTTCAGCACCAAGCGCATGCATAACCTCATGACATGCTACTCCAGGCATATCATTGCAAAGAAAAGATAAGTAAATAGGATTATAGGGTTCATTTACGCCTATATAGCTAATTCCACAGCTTTGAAGGGAAGGGGAAATATTTTATTTTATAAGGAATAGTATAGTGAGGGTGATAGTAATGTCATATTTAGAACCTCCCAGATAACAAAGCCCTTGATTTAAGATATAATCTTTTTAGTTCGATTAGACACTTTGTTAGTTAACTATCAATACCACATTAGGGGAGCAGGGGAGTGCAATATCCCCCCCCCCCCCAGACATTTTTAAAATATGGTTACCCACTAGATGGGGTACCCACACACTCGAGATACCCCCAAGTTGGTATCTTGAGGTTTGACAGTATTTTGATAAGAATTATTAGATAGATAATATAGGGATTAATAGGTAGATAAACCTACAAGGATGTAGTGATATATCTAACAAAATAAATTGAGGAGATATTTGGTGCTGAACCATTAAGTGCTAATTCTGTAAATGTAAGACACGTTTTATTAGAAATTTCTCGAATACAAGTTCTTATTTGTTCTCTCTGCCGTTCAGCTTAAAATGACATAAAATTAAAATAATGGAAAAATGATTAGCTTTAACTAGGAGTCTTTCTAATAGAGAGGCCCTCTTTATTAAAAAACATTGGGAGGTATTAAAAGGCTATGGTCCTGAGAATAGAGATATAACGCTAGTCGTCATTCTCCTCGATGTATATCAAACACGAATCCTTTATAGAGGAAAAGTCCCTTATAGAGGGAGAGTCCCTTATAGAGGGAGGTCCATAATATAGAGAGTTTGCCGTAGTGACAGCGGGGGGTCTGTCGGAATTCCGATTTCCGAAAATCTAAGCTGATTTCCGAGTTCCGACTTTTGAGCTTTTCCGATTTCCGATAGTTCCGAGTTCCGACATCTTCATTTCCGATAGATCCCTGCTTGACAGCATAATTAAAAATAATTTTGATTTAAATTAAAAACCAACATAAAGAATTATCAAAACCATAGGGTATAGGTTTTCCAATAGGCCATTGTTTTGTCGGCGCTATTTTAAAATAAAGCAGATCTCCAGCTCTTTTATTTCTTATTTTATTATTTTCTGGAATTACATGAGAATATTCCAGACTTGAATTTAATTTATTAATTAAGGTATTGGCTTGTTCTAAGGTTAACAACATGTGATCAAAAACTCCATTATCTGCTGGTTTTGCCTTAAAATATTTATTATTTTTATTATCCACACACGAAATCAACACCAACAGGAGTGATTAGTGTTCGGCAGGGTTCGATGCTACCGAGGACTACCGGAGTACCGTATCAGTATTTACCGTAAGTCTGGCGGATCCTGGGAATCTTCGGATATTTTTTGGATCTTCTGATCCGAAATCCAAACGAGATTTTCGGATATTCTTTGGATCTTCTGATCCGAAACCCAACGAGATTTTCGGATTTCCTGTCTCTTTTCGAATACGGATAGCTGGATCTGCCAAATCTGCCAAACGGATCTACCAAACCGGTACCGTATGTTAAGACTGGACTTTCAGCTATTCTTTTGTAACGGTAATAAAGCCATTTTGTCGAACACTGGAGATCAACACCCTTATGGATAAACAAAAAAAGATCCAAAATCCAAATCCTAAGGGATAAACATAAGGGGATAAACACAAAAAGATAGCGTTTATCTTTAGGATGTTCGATTACTCTTTTGAATAAAATTTCTGAAAAAATTAAAATTTACAAATTCATTAATACATGCTCTTCCATACAAAAATCTTTTCACTGCATAAGTTCTCTGCAATCTTGTCTCCACAATTTCGTCAATCTCTGCGAGTGGTTTATGTGGGCTAGAATTTTTATTTTAATTTAATTTTTAAAACGGCCCTTAAAAAATAAAATAAAAGAACTATGCTAGTCGAAGCATTGCTACTTCATAATCTCCAAGTACTGCACGAATGTGTTTATGCTCATCAGTATCTTGTTTACAAGTATCGCCAGGACAGTTTTTCTTAAAAAATTAATTTTTTAGTAATCTCAAAGATTGAGTGTTATTTTTTGCAGACATTTTTTGGCATCAAAAACTTGTCCGCAAAAAAAGTCCGCAAATTCAAGTCTGCGTCTGCAAGAAGAAGTCCGCAGAGAAAGTCCGCAAAAAAAGTCCGTAGAAAAGTCCGCAAGAAAATTCAAGTCTGAAAACGAGGTTTGCAAAAATTAGTCCGCTAAAAAAGTCCGCAAAGTCAGCAAAAAAATCCGCAAAATTTATTCACCTTAATAGCGTCTATAGCTGCTTGATCTAATTTCCTTCCATAACCAGGTGGAATCATATCTCTAAATTGTCTTGGAATTTCATTTAACAAATTTTTTAATTTGTATTGTGGCACTGGATTATCAATATATTTATTAAATTCTGGAAACTAAAAAATAAAATATTAAAAATTAATTAAAATTTGGGTAGCTAACATTAGTATAATTATCAGCCTTTAATGGATCTTCCAAGTCAGGTGCAGCATTTGGAATTATCCACTCTGGTTTACATTTAGGATCAGTCTTTTTCATTGTACAATAGCTTAAAATATTTTTTTTGATAATTTAAAAATGTTCCGCAAAAAAAGTCTGCAAGAATAATCCGCAAAAAAAGTCCGCAAGAATTGTCCGCAAAATAAATTCTGTAAAAAATAGTCCGCAAGAAAAGTCTGCAAAAAAAGTCCGCAAGAAAAGTCCGCAAGCAAAGTCCGCAAAAAAAGTCCGCAAGAAAAGTCCCCAAAAAATGTCCGCAAGAGTAGTCCGCAAAAAATGTCCGCAAAAAAAGTCCGCAAGAAAAGTCCGCAAAAAATGTCCGCAAGAATAGTCCGCAAGAAATTCTCTTTCAGATTTTTGATAAATTTTAACCAACCGAATTATTATTCGCATGGCATGCATTGTATAGCCTTCTGTATTTTTGGGGGCATAATAATCCACGTTGATGCCTTCAAGTCTACTAGAAGCAGATTGAACAGTAATAATAAATAAAATATTTATTAAAATTACAAATAAAAATTGTTGCATTTTTATATTATTTTTAAGCTTTTTATTTACATAAATATACATTAATACCCTTAAATTGAAATTTAAAATTTGAAAAGTCAATTTAAAATTAGTTGAGATTAGTCAGAAGCCACGAAGATAATGAGAGAAATTAGAGAAAATGGGTGGAAGAAGCAACCCCAATTTACTATGAAGTGGGATGGGGTAAGTTCTTAACGGAACTCAAAAAATATCTAGGTCAGCATGAGAGTTCTAGACAGCTCCCTTCATACAAAGCAAGGTCCGAGTGTGAAGATCCGAATACCCAGGATAGTTGGAAAAGATGTATTAATGGGAAGTGTGGAAAGGTTCTGCTGAGATAAGTGGAAGAACTGGATAAGTTGATAGGATAGGTGAGATCGAAATACCCAGAAAGAGTCGAATCTGCAATAGGACGGAATTTTTGTTTGGATATCGAATCCAGATATATCTATGAATTTTTCATAATAATTTCTAAAGAGATTAATTTTTAAAAATTTTTATTAAAGCATTTAAAGATTATAATAAATAAATTTTTAAAAATATATTTTATTAAATAAAATATTAAACAGTCGGTTCTCCCATTTTCCCAACTTTTTTTATTATACATAAGCGATGCTTGATAATTCCACGCAGCAATATTCCAACATGCATATAAATTTTTAAATTTTTTATTTTAAATATAGTTAATATTTTAAACGTCATAATACACATTTAATAAATATTAATAAATAAATATTTTTATAAATTATTTATTTCCTCGTAGATAGTTTTGAAATAAATTTTTTTTATAAATTAAATAAAAATGTGTGGTGTGATCGAAATGTGGTCGAGATCAAGTGTGTTCAATCCTCGAAAGTTAAAAAACAGAAAAAAATGGATGGTAGTTGAGTAGGATGATAGTTGAGAAAGTCGTGATGGGAGGTGTGGGAGAAGTTGTGATGGGAGGTGCAGGAAAGTTCTTTTGAGATAAGTTGAAGATAGGTGAGCAAGTTGATAGGATTGGGGAGATATCATTATCAAGGATCATCCAGATCATCATCCTAGTATCTGAAACTTATATAGGATCAAAGAGCGGTCAAAAATTTCAATTTCAAAAATTTCAAAAATTTAATTTCCAACTCTTTCGGGTAGTTTACCCGAACAGATCCCATCCAGTTAATAACAAAAAATTTTGATGGAATTTGATCATGCTAGCTTTCCAAAGCAAGGTTGTTAACTAGTGATGGGAAAATTACAAAATTTCTCTGGAACCGGTTCCAGTTCTGGAACTGCTTTTCGAATTTTCGAATTTCTTCGATTCCAGTTCCGGAACTGGACCTGGAACTTTCCCAACACTAGTGCAATACCGACTGTTGATTTTAATTTTTGTTCTACATATTTACTTGTTCGGAAAGAAACTTAGCTAGTCTTACAATATTTTCCGATTTTTGACACCTCCCATTAAATTTACCCTTAAATAAGCTTGGTATTTCAAATTTTTTGTTTAACCAAAAAAAGCCTTTTAAGAATTTCAAAAATTATTTTAATTTCCACGTGTATTTATTCAGTCAAATAAATACATAAAAATGGATTTTTTTCCCAGCCATTCTAAAAGTTGATTGGGAAATAAAATTAAAAGTTAATTTAAAAATATTTTTAAAAATTGTTTTGAAAAAAATTTAATTTGAATTCTTAGTAAGCTTCAGTATTCAGAAAATATTTTTCATGTAATCGGCGTCATTTGGGCCACGTTCATCTTTTTATTGACAATTTCTACTTTCTTAAATAAAAAATTTTTTAAATTAATTTTACTAAAATATTTAGAGTTCGAACTTTTCAATTTGCCGGGCCCGGTATCCAAGTTTTTTTCTTCCAATCCGACCCGGTCTAGCCCTTTTTTCAGCCTCAAAAACCTCGTAAACCTCAAAAACCTTGTAAAACCAGGAGACCCCGAAAACCCGGATTTTAACAAAATACCCAGTTTTACGGGCTTCCGAGCCCGCAAAACCCGAACACGGGTCCGGGTTCGAACTATAAAAATATTTATATGTATTATAAAGTTTTTGGACGATTTTTTTGATTTTTTATTCTCACTTATTTTCTATGTTTTCCAGGTTTTCAGGGATTTTCTGAGGGTTTTTCCGAATTTTCTGAGCTTTCAGGGTTATTTTTGGGGTTTTAAGGCTTTTGTGGGGTTTATCTAATATTTTTTCCTATTTTTCTATTTTTTCTGGGGTTTCTAGGTTTACTGGTTTTAAGTTTTTCTGGCGATTTTTCCGATTTTCTAGCTTTTTTTTTCTAGTTTTTCTGTGTCTTCGAACTTTTTCTGATATTTTACCGATTTTTCTGGGTCGTAATCTTTCTCTCTCTCAGAGAGAGAGTTAAAAGCAGAAAACTCGACAAAATTGATTGTCGAGTTTTCTGCTACCTTCTTTTCTTTTAATCAGACTTGTGATTTTTCAGGACTTGGTCAGGATTATTTTTTGAAAAATTAAAAATACATACTTGTGGGATAATTTTATTTGTTTTTAATTTATAAAAGATTGAAAGCCATGGAAATTGTTTGTAAAAAGCTTGTCGATATTCTTCACTGAAATTATTTAGTTAAAAAAATTTTTTATGACATTACTTGCCTTGTAATTAAAAGAACTATAGGATCACTACTGGCTATAATACAGGCAAAAACATTAAATAAAGCTGATAATATCCATTTCATATACAGGGTGCGGCAAATTAAGCGCGCGTTTGTTTTTTGCCATAACTTTCTTCAATTTTAATGAAAATTGATAATTCTTTTTTTGTTTTATTCCCAACACTTTAGGAAACTTGATTGTACCAAATATTAAAAATTTGGTTCACTGTTGGCAAAGATAATCGAGTTCGAACGTCTGGAAAATTTAAAAACATTTTTTATGCCAAAGTTTAAATGATCATAACTTCGTTCAAAATCGTTCAATACCAATGATTTTGGTACTAAACGACTCATCTCGTTCAGGAGCATCGAAATAGCTTATAATCTCATTTTTGAAAATTTTACACAAAAATTTTATTTTCATCAAAATTATTTTAATTTTTTTTTTTCTTTATCGAACACAAATAAATATAATGTGAAACAATAAAATAAAACTCCTGGATCCACAGGGATCACTTATGGAGAGGTAACGTACAAAAAAATCAAATACAATATGACGGTTTTTTTAAATGTTAAGTTAAAAAAAAATAAATAAATAATGGACTCCACAGAAAAAAAACAAATTAAATGTATAAAATTAGATGTTATAAAAAATATATAGGTATATTTAGGTGTAAAAGAATATTTGTATTAAAAATAATTTTATTTAAATGTTAAGTAAATTTGTTTAGGTAAGAAAGTGAACATTTGGGTTAGGATTTTATGTTAATACACTCCATTAATTCATACTGATAAATTATAATCTTCTGTAGTTAATATTTTGTCTAAAAATTTTTTAAATTGTGGTATAGTATTGATTTTCTCAATTTCTTTTTTTGGAAGTTTATTCCACCTATCTATGACTCTATGTGAAAAGAAATGATTATTCTTAGCTTGTTTCTTAAATATTTGATATCTGTGCAAGCGCGGATTATTTCTATTAGGTTTTGAGAATATTTGTTCTGGATTTATTTTATAGCACCCCTTTATTATTTTGAAGGTTGTCATAAGATCTGTTCTTATACGACGAATATTAGTTGGAGGGAGTTTGCATCTTTTTAGTCTTTCGTTATAGCTTATTTTCTGGTATTTGTATTTATATCTTAAAACTTTCCTTGTAAAGCTTCTTTGAGGTCTCTCTAATTGCTTATTTAGATATTCTAGTTTTGGGCTAAAATTTTCAGTGGAATATTCCATAATTGGTCTTACGTATGTCTTGAATGCCTTAACATATGTGTCTATTGGTAATGTTTTTGGTAATATTCTTAGGATATTATTTGCCCTTATAAATGAGGATTTAGTAATTTTTGCTATATGTTGATCAAATTTAAGTTTGTTATCTATATATATACCTAAGTCTCTTATGTTATTAACCTCTTCGATTTTTTCGCCATTTATCTCATAGTTAAACTTAATTTTGTTGCATATTTTTAAAACTTTAACTTTTGTGATAGAGAATTTTAGCCTATTATTTATTGCCCATTTACTAGCATTATTTATAGCTTCTTGTAGTTCTATACAATCTTTTTCGGTTTTAATTTCTGAGTAAAGCTTAAAATCATCTGCATATAATTTTACTTTTATGTTTGTCGGAATATGTTTGGGTAGATCGTTTATATATATCAGGAACAGCAATGGTCCTAACACAGTTCCTTGGGGGACACCTGTCTTCGGAAAAAATGGTTCGGAGTAATTCTCACCTATTTTTACAGTATGAGATCGATTAGATAGAAAATTTGCTATCCAAGCAATTGTTACCCTATCTATTTTAATTTCATGTAATTTCCTAATAAGTATTTCGTGATCTACTTTATCAAAAGCTTTTTCAAAATCAAAATATATGATGTCCGTACCTATTTTCTTATCAAGAGAGTTGTACCAGTCTTGCATAGATGATAGAATTTGGAGAGTGCACGAGCTCTTAGGTAAAAATCCGAATTGCTCTTCGGCAATTAATTTATTTTTGTTAAGGTGTTCTAATATGTTATTCGCTACGAGGCGCTCAAAAACTCTACAGATTGGAGATGTTAGAGCAATTGGTCTGTAATTCTTTGGGTCATTTAATGACCCCTTTTTTTTAAATATAGGTAGAATATGTGCAGTTCTCCATAATTCAGGGACAATTCCTGTCTTGAATGTATTGTTATATAAAATTGATAAGGGAAGGGCTAATGGGGTAGAACATTTTTTTAAGAAATATTGATTGCTACTCTCAGGGCTATGAGATAATTTATTGGGGAGCTTCTTAAGCAATTTTTCTATTATATATGGTTCGAAAATAATTTCTTCCCGGTATTCATCCCTATAATCGGCTTCAAGGTTTGCTTGCTTATTGTTTATATCTCCATTAACTATTTCTTCAAAAATAGTTCTAAATATATTAACTTTCTCTG